GAACAATTACTGCACATAAACAATGACACACTGTTTTTTTTTTTTATTTCATTGTATTTATTTATTTTTATTTTTATTTAGTCAGTACTGATGCCTCTTGCAGCTGTACTTTGCATTTCAAATTCGTTTTTTCTTACTCTTTAATGAATGTGATTATCAACAGGAATGGATGTTTTTATATTCATCATAGAATGAGAAATTCTGTTGCCAGCCACTGTGTTGTGAGTCACCATGTAACCAAAGACAAATTCCTTGTATATGCATATATATGAGTGTGCGTGTATACAGCATGCAACACTATAACAAAACACATGGTCCCTGAATAATCCTTCATTTGTCCCTCCAGCAGTGCGAGGCAGGTATGGATGACTCTTGTTCAGAAGACACGTCACCACTGCTACAGAAGTAGGGATCAATATAAAAATATTAGGCTATTAGCTGTTGTATTCCTTTTGAATACTGCCTATTCCAGAATCTAAATACATTGTGTTAATTTCATTATTTATTTCATGCATTGATTTACACGTAGACTTTACACTGTGATGACCATAACTGTGCAGAGTAAGAGAGATCTACCTGAAGGCGATGCTATTAGTTAATTATTATAATTAATTTTGCTCCTCATTGTTATAATTGTTAGCAGCGAGTTTAAAATGCTGCAATACCCATCCATTCACTGTTTGACTCTGTACTTGTTTAAAATGCAAATATGGCCATTTTATATATTGCCCAAAATGACCAAGGAACCCACACATTTTATGTGTAATGTTAATTAAAGTAAATTGATAAAAAATACTTTTTCTGCCAAAACCTTATTGCACAACTATCATAAAACAATGTCTCAGGCATCAGGTGGTGTATTTATAACCGTTCTGTATATTAACATAAAATAAAACGACACTGTACACATGTAGGCTTTAGAAAGACTTTAATGTTGAGCTGCAAATGTCATAAAAATTACAGAAGTAAAGGAACAGCCCAGCCAAAAGATGTTTGTGTCACTAAAAAATTAACCGTTAGCCACCAATTAGGATTATGCAGATAAGTCATTGGCAGCTAATAGCCTTTAGGCAGCTTTCAGGCTAACAGGTAGCCATTAGCCTTAATTTATTCTTAGCCACATAAGTGCTTTTTTTCCAGATAATTGGTTAAATCGTTTTGCAAGTACAAATATATAGGAAATGTTTCCACAATAAGCCCTGTTGTAAAGCTGCTTGTGAGTGAAACTGTATGAAAAAGATACTGAAAATGGAATTCATTTTTACAGTATATTAGCAACACTGAATTCCCAAACACTTGGATTTTGCTGTGTACTGTTGCGTGGGCTTTTGGCTGAGTGTGTATTTGTTATGCATTTCATACTTTGTGGGGACTAAATGGCCACAAGAGACTGGAAAACATGACAGTATTGGACATTTTGGTTAAATGAGAGAGATCAGGCTTCATGTTTGGTCCTTGGGTGGCATATTTCATGTTTCAAGTGTGAATGAGTGATAGTTCTCTTGTAAATTGTAATTCTGTCAGCTGAGACACTCCAGACTGGACCAATGCTAGAGCAATTGCCACTTGAGGGTGAGTGTAAGCTCAGTGTAACTGTTTGCAGTTCCAGTCATTCCACTGAATCATTTTTTACATTCTTTTTCTTCTGTTTCTTGATGTGAAGCTCAGACAGTGCAGGAGTGTAAAACAGCAGAAGTATGATGATGTGATTTCTAAATCTGAATCAATTTGTTGAAAGGATCATTTTGGCCTAAAACTAGTATTTTATGTTATTAGTCATGTTATGTAATACAACCCCATTTCCAAAAAAGTTGGGACACTGTTCAGAATGTGAAAAAAAATAAGATGCAAATCATGTAAACCATATTTTTAAAGGACAATACGACAAAGACAACATATCAAATGTTGAAACTGAGAAATTGTATTGTTTTTTGAAAAATATATTCCCATTTTGAATTTGATGCCAACAACACATTCTAAAAAAGTTGGGACGGGGGCATGTTTATCACTGTGCTTCATCACCTCATCTTTTAACAACACTCTGTAAGCGTTTGGGAACTGAGGAGGACCAATTGCTGTAGTTTTGAAAGTGAAACGTTTTCCCATTTTTGTTTGATATAGGATTTCAGCTGCTCAATAGTTCAGGGTCAAATGTTATCAGTGGTGACAGGTCTGGACTGCAGGCAGGCCAGTTTAGCACCTGTACTCCTTTAATACGGAGCCATGCTGCTGTAATATATGCAGAATGTGGTTTGGCATTGTCTTGCTGAAATAAGCAAGGCCTTCCCTGAAAAAGTCGTCGTCTGGATGGCAGCATATGCTGACAGAACATGTATCTGTCGTTCAGCATTAATGGTGCCTTCACAGATGTTCACATCACCCATGCCATGCCCACTAATGCACACCTACACCATCATTAATACTGGCTTTTGAACCGTGCACTGATAACAAGCTGAGTGGTCTTTAGCCTGGAGGACACAATGTCCATTATTTCCAAAAAGAATTTCAAATTTTGATTTGTTGGACCACGGAACACTTTTCCACTTTGCCTCAGTCCATTTTAAATGAGCTCAGAGGCCCAGAGAAGGCGGCGGCGTTTCTGGATCCTGTTTATATATGATTTCTTCTTTGTGTTTTAGAGTTTTAACTTGCATTTGTGGATGCAGTGATAAATTCTTTTCACAGACAGTGGTTTTCAGAAGTGTCTCTGAGCCGCAGTTCTACCTGAGGGCCCGAAGATCTTGGCCAGCAAATACTGGTTTTTGGCCTTGTCCCTTGCATACAGAGGTTTCTCCAGATTCTCTGGATCTTTTAATGATATTATGTACTGTAGATGATGAAAAACAAAAGTTCTTTGTGAACCCCTCCCCATTTTTACTTCTGAAAGACTCAGCATTTTTTATACTCAATCATGTTACTGACCTGTTGCCAATTAACCAACAGGTGTTTTTTTAGCATTACACAACTTCACCAGCCTTTTGTTGCCCCCATCACAACTTTTTTGGAACGTGCTGCTGGCATCAAATTCAAAATGGGCATATATTTTTCAAAAGATAATAGAATTTCTCAGTTTCAACATTTGATATGTTGTCTTTGTACTATTTATAGAGTTTAAATGATTTGCACATCATTGCATTTTGTTTTTATTTACATTTTGCACAGCATCCCAACATTTTTGGAAATGGGGTTGTATTTTGTAGCACTGCATTGAATCCTTGAGCTTCATCAGTCTAAAAAACAATTCACAATTTTGTATCCTGTTAGTGTTTTTGTCCATCAATGTTCTCTCACTACAATATCCAGCACGTACTGCACAAATACACCGGATGGTGATGAAGAAATGCACTGATGTAGAGGTTAATAAATACAGGTGTGATGTTCCAGCAGAAATATTAGCTATGTGGCTTTGTTTTGCCTCAGCCCACTTGAAGGAAAAAATTCAACCAGCCCACCTTGAAGTATCTACCCCAAAGTGCTTGTAGTTTTTCAGACTATTCCTCCCACCGTCAAGATACATCATCTGAAGGGAGTTTTCCTAGTCTTGAAACTGGAATATCTCTCTAGAGACTGTGGCACCACTGCAAAGATGTAGCAATGACTAAATTTTTCAGTTTGGCTGGAATGTCAATTTTAATCAATAGGCAGACCAACTGTATATGTTGTTCTCTTAAAGGTATGTTTATTATACCTTTTGTACAAAAACCTTGTTCATTTCCAACTTTAAGAGCATTATCCAATCAAGGAGTTTATTTTAGGGAAAAGTGGACATTTCTTACAATATATATTCAGCCAAGCATGCATTGTTATTAATGTATATTTTATTCACTGTAAAAGAAACTGAACTCAGAAACTTCATAAATAAGAAAATGGGTGTGACAGCAAAACAATGTGGCAATAAACAGCATGAACAGAAATATCCAGAAATAAGAGGTGTTAAGTAACATCATTTGAAGGTGCCTTTTCTTATGAATGGCATTGCACACAGAGTACATATTACATGCCTACACATAACTAATCAAAATAACATTGGAAATTATTAATTTTTTTATTTTTAGTTTAAAAAGTTATAGGTCCTTAAACCAAATTCAAGTTTCATTGTCTTTTATTGATTGTCATTCCAAAATTAACCGAAAGCCTTCAGTCTGAAGACTGATATTAATATATCTCATACAAACGATGATATTGATATCAAAATTAAAAACAAAAATACTACAGCTTTCTGGTCACACAGTTGTGATTACATACTTAAATGTTATCTTTAAAAGGTCTGCAGTCCTGGATGTTTGTAAACTGAAATAATGTAGTTCCTATTGATGTTTAAACTACAGTTTATGACAAATGTTTAATGTAAATATTAATAAAAAGCTGTAAGCTAATCAGACAACAAAATGTTTGATTTCGCTCACATAAATAAGTATGGAACAGACAGTGTGCTATCAAGAATGATGATAAATCTTATACTCTAAAAAGAAAAGGTTCTTTTGGCAGATCTTCTTCATTGCTGGATAAGCCATGTTTCCAAATGCTGATGCTGAAGCACTATGAGAACTCTTTAGTTCCAAGTAGACCTGTTTCCAGGTAGCTCGTTCAGGAATCTTAATGAAAGAGTTCACCTTGATACATTTTTATGATACTTGAGTGGAGACCAAATACTGGGTCTGTACACATTTATTCCTACATTGTGCTACTTCAGTTGAAACTGTACTTGAAATCAGGCAAAATACCTAAACTGCTTGAGATGTAAATCACAGGGACCAAAGCAATTTCAAAGATTTTTTTTTTCTTGCATGAAACCTTTAAAAGCATCTAAGAACACCAGATACACACCACATCTTCCTTATTAGTATATTTACTGGAATCATGAATATACTGTCATTCGTTCCACTGGTCAGTGAAAAGAAAAACTCTGAATAAAAATGCACCCACACACAGGGAAAACACTGCCGGTGGCACAAATTTCTCACCATTTATGTATCAACAACTTTACACTTGTATTTCTGTGTGATCAAATCATACAGCTCCATCGCAGATATATCACACTGACCTACTACTCTTCTGCCTTTCAACAGCTTTCTTCATTAAAATAACACTTTTTTTCCCAACACATTTAAGAAAATAACAGTCATCTTTTCTAGTCTTTTCTCTCCAGTACTCTCACAATGTGCCATCTGTTGGTAATTTCTGTATCTTCCACACACTATTTACTCACAGCTACTTTCACTGCTACCATTTAGGTGAAATTCTTCATTGGACAGACATCACTGAATTTCCTCTTTTAGCTGGATTGTCAGAAGGCTATAAAACTATGAAAACTATATCGTTACACAACCATTTCATAACGAATAATAAAAAGGAAAGTAAGTCAAATTTAAATAACAGAAATTCATTATACAAATGAACTTATATTGAAATTAAAAAAAAGAATGAATCTTCTCTTCTTCTCTCTTCTCTTCTCTTCTCTTACTTTCGCAGCAGCTGTTGTGGTCCCAGCATGACCTTGTTGATGAAATTGACGATCGCAGTGGCAGGCTGTTCTGGATCGAGCTCTGCGAACAGATGACATGCATTTCCCAAACCACTACCACTGCGGCGGGCCACGAAACCAAACATCCTACACAGACAGACAGAGAGAGAGACAGAGTGAGTGATTGGGGATGATGAAGGAAGTAATCTTTGATAGAACAAGAAAGTACGCAGCCCTGCTGGTGACATCCCATATAAATAAAAATAATGCCTGGCCACACCCTATTAACTTGTGGGAACAAGATCTTAATGTGTGGCCATGACTTAGTACAGCATGGGAATGGGATAATTAAGTCATGGACATGACTTAGTAAGGTGTGGGAACAAGATAACTGAGATGTGGCCATGACTTAGTAAGGTGTGGGAATGAGATAATTAAGCTGTGGCCATGACTTATTAAGGCATGGGAACAAGGTCATGCCTTATTAAGCTGTGTTTAAGGCTGAATTATTTCATTCCCATGCCTTACTAAGTTGTGGCCACGCATTAGGATCTTGTTCCCATGCCTTACTAAGTCATGGCCATGACTTAATTATCTCGTTCCCATGCTTTACCAAGTTGTGGCCACGCATTATTTTTATTTATACAGGACGTCACCAGCAGGGGTCTGTAAGAAAGAGATTAAAGTAATGCTAGAGCAAAAAATCTAATTTACAAATTCCTCTTGTTTTTTCCCCTCAGTCAGCCAAGACATATTCAGTGTCTGAAGTTTCTGTCTTTAGTTTTGTATGGGGGCTAATGTAGCTAACAAGTTATTGTTTAGTATTTTCCACCAGTTTAGCATCATGCAAACTGCAGTCTGAAGTCAGCATACACTTTGTTGAGTTTTTCAGCAAACTCAAATAGACTTGCTTATATGTTTTTTTAACACAAAAAACATCACATAGCTTTTTAGCCTGAATTTAGTCTATTCTAAAGAAGCAAACACCTTGTCTTGGCTGATCGACTCTATTCGAAGTAAGGCCAAAAATGGTGTAAATTAGATTTTTTGCCAAACCATTCCTTTAAAATCTTTCTTCACTACAAAGTTAAAGAATTAATATGATTGGAAAACATTATATTCTAAGAACATAGTATAATGCTATAGGCTGCAGTTTAGGGTAGCAGTTAAGGCTGGGATGTTTTTTGGGGGAGTGCATCCCTGATCACAAGCAAAGCAACTGACTGTATGGATTGGACAATATGAGGCAACAAGAAACTCACAAGTACACATGCATGCATGGAAGAAAGAAAAGCACATATGTAGCACTTACTTGTTGGATGTGTTATCAGCATTAGTCCACCTGGCACACAGATGCACACAAACACATACACACACACACATATATATATATATATATGCACATATATGCAAAGCAACATGTACTAGCTGAGTAAGTTGGAAAAAAGGACTGACAGAGTAAGACACTGGTGACAAAAAGCATATTGCAGTGACATTCAAACATTTATATCTGCCCATAAGTATTATGGGCATGAAGACATCCCAGCTCCTTTTAAATAGTACTCTGAGCAACTAGAAAAAAATGTATAATGACCAAAGCAACTTTACATTCATGAAAATGTTTTTTTAAAAAGCTCATACTTTACTGGTACCTTACTGTTTGCACAATCATGAAGGCAACCATAACTTATAAACCAACAAATTTAAATTCCAACAAAGTTGGGACAGTATGTGAAATGCAAATATAAACAGAAAGCAGTGATTTGCAAATCCACTTCGACTCATATTTAAATGAAAACAGCACAAAGACAAGATATTTAATGCTTTATCATATTAAGTTCATTGTTTTTTTTGTAAATATACTTATTCTTAAATTGATTGCAAAGAGTTGGATGGGGCAATTTAAGTCTATATTGTAATATTATATAATATTATAAAATGTAAAACAACAACAAAGGAATGCAATCATGTTTGGGTATAAAAGGAGCATCCCGAAAAGGCCTAGTCGTCTATGAGCAACAAAGGGTCAAGGCTCCCCACTTCTTTCCAAAAAATGCATCAGTGAACAGGGACATCCATGCTTGTTTCAACATGAAAACGCCAAGCCATATTCTGCATGTGCTACAACATCATGGCTGTGTTGTCTAAGGGTGAAAGTGCTAGACTGGCCTGCCTGCAGTCCAGAACTGTCTCCCGCTGAAAACGTGTGGCATGTTATAATGCGCAAAATACAACAAGAAAGGACCTGTACAGCTGTGCAGCTGAATGGCAGAATGGCAATAAATTCTGCTTTCAAAACTGGATCAGTTGGTGTCTTCAGTCCCCAAACGATTATTTAGTGTTGTTAAAAGGAAAGATAATGTAGCACAGTGGTAAGCATGTTTTTGTCCCAACTTTTTTGGAACAGTTGTAGGCATCATATTTGGAATGAGCATATATTCACAAAAAACATTGTATTATGTTTTTGTATTGCCTTCAGTTTAATACAGGTCAAACAGAATTGCTTAATCATTGCTTTTATTAGCATTTCACATACTGTCTCAACTTCATCCTGTGGCATTCATTATAAAGCTAGTGTTCAGTTAGGACATAAAGCATCAGTGACACTGCACATGAAAGCTGAAGATGAAAGACTTTTTTTGCCATAGACTGTAATGCAGACTCAAGAAAAAAAACATACATCCTATTCATCCATTAAAATAAAATGGCAACACTGTATTTTATTTGTCACATCAATTACAGCAGTTCTTATTACTGAATAGTACAGCTATGAGAGTGTGAGATCAAATACCTTTGATCCTGTGGATCCACACTGCTGAATGTAACACTATGGATGGGGTAATGTCTCCTGAAGAACAGCCTGTGTGTGAATGGATGGGACAGAGAAACAGGTGGAAATACATGGTTGACTTTTTCAAGCAGTTTCGTGTTTAGTTTTAGGGGCAAGCTGTGTGTGGTCTAATTAGAAGGTATACTATGCTGTGTTATGTGTTTGTGGCTGTGTGTGTGAGAGTACCTGCGCTGATTGTCTGTAAGCGTGATACCCTGAGTGGAAACTTTGAAGTGGACAACAGTAGCTGAAGGGCAGGGGTCCTGGGTCAGAGTACACTTTATTGCCTTGGAGATGGCTTGTGGGCCAGTCAACGACTCAGTGTCCACAGAGTTTAGGTAGAGAACATTACAAGCTGAGAGAGAGAGAGAGAGAGAGAGAGAGAGAGAGAGAGAGAGGTAGCCGATAACAATCCAGTTAATACATTTTGACCTGAATCATAAAGTTAGCAGCTCATATTAAATGTGGTAGTAAAACTGCATACAATATTCAAACAAGTGTTGTGCAACTGAAACCCTGTAACACCCTGCTAGTTGGGCATCAATTAAAAGTGAAACCTTTAAAATGTAAGAAGATGGAAGTATTGGCAAATGCATCAGAGGGTCAGTAGACTGGATTAACACTCACCAGCCCCCTGTTTGAGCAGGTCTGCAGCTGTGCTGGTGTTGGTGCCATTATGCATTTCCTGCAACTCTCCTACAAGATCTGAATCACACAGACCAGCAATCACACAACACATCACACACCACCATTACACTGTCAGAAAAAAGGGTACAGGTACGTATTAATCCCCCAAGGTACAAATAATGTGAAGAAACCCTCAACATGGCCCTTAACATGGTGTGGTACACCACAGTCACTTTACCAGAGGAAAGGTACACATTTATACCTGTTTCAAAACTGAACTTTTTAAAGTTAAAAAATTATACAATGTTTCCTAACTAAAGGCACTGAAAACATACCCTTGAGGATACCACCCCAGCATCTGTGCCCTTCTGAGAGTGTAGAACAAATTTACTCATATCAGAGCCAATAGTCAGTTCTTACATAGCGTATTTTAGTTGTTGAGGGATTAATGTTAACAACTGTGTGCGCGTGAATGACAAACCTTTGTCTGGGATATGTAGTGTGCAGGGCAGTGAGACTGGTGTGATGGAGTGCTGATATACCAGAGCAGACAGAGAGCCTACAAGGAGAACCAATAAGAAGAACAACAACGTTAGAAACTGGCCCACAGGGGGCACTGGTATCAACGTGTCAACATTCTCTCTCACCAAAGTATGTTTCATTCTGACAGCCTTTAATTTTGACTCCTTTTGCTCCGCTTTCAACGAGGAAGTGCCTGACCAGCTGCTCCTGGGGGTTATAGGTGTTGCCATGGTTAATGGCATGAGGTGGTGGTGTTGCCACTTTGAGGGCCAATCCATAAGCACCCTGGAATGATTTGCTGTCCCTTATCAGGAAAGAGCCAGGCTCCTTGTCTTTCAGAACAGCGATTGCTAAAAAGCATTGGGAAAAGAATACATTTAGAGTCACACACCCTTGTAACAGCATGTTTTTGTGTAACTTACTAAAGGATACTTTTTTACATAATTTAACTGGGTTGATAGATTGATAATTTATTGACGTGCTGATCTCCCTCACCCTGGTCTCGAGAGATGCCAGGCTTGTACCAGAACTTGGAGCTATCCTGCACAAACTTGGAGCTGACGCTTTTCTCCGGCTCCTCCAGTCCTTTCGGAGGAAATGTCCTGTGTTTGACTGAGGGAGGCAGTTCATTTGAAGTAGGTAGGGAGGAAGAAGTGCAAGGACCTGCAGATGTTGTGAGTGAGGAGCAGGCAGAGGAGGAGTCTTGGGGAGAAGTATTATGCTGTTTTTCAGGTATGGCAGGTTGAGGAGGGGAGGCAGGAATAGTAATAGCAGTGTAACCTGTATATGGAACATGAGGGACAGTCAGGAGAGGGTAGCTGGGTGATGCTAAAGGAAATGAAGGTGTGACATAGCCATCAGGCACGGGGGAAGGTGCTCTCAAATCGATGGTGCTACCCTCCTCATTGGAAGAGGCTCTATCAGTCAGAGGGGTCAGTCTCTGACCTTCAGCCCTAATGCCCAGCAAAGGGAGCTCAGAGCAGGAGCTTCTCTCTGAAGGACATGCAGAAGGCTGAGTAGATGTTGAGGGGGTTTTGAGAATTGGTCGCAGACACAAATCTTTGTTCTGTTCCATCTTTTGGGAACTGATGCTTGTAGGTGGTGCTGAGTTGTTCCCTTGTACTTGCACCATAGGTACAACAGACTCCAGCGATGTGAGTGGCTGTGAGTTTGGGTGAGGCTCACTCAAGAAGGTTGTGGTGGATGTGGACTCTGTCACAGCGGGATCCTTCATCTCAGAGTCCTGCGACTCCTGGATTAGTTCAGCTTCCAGAGGAGCAGGGCCTTCAGTGGAGGCATGCCTAGGAAAAGGCTCCCCCTGTGTGACTTCTCTCTGGGAGACTTCTTGCTCCAGTGGTGGTCCTACACTGAAAAACCCAGAGAAGCTTTGGTAAATACCGAGCACTAGACTGAGCATATGGGTACATCTTATTGTCTAAATTCAAGTCTGAACTTCCAACCAAACCCCTCAGATATGCAAAACTAGAAGTTAAGTAACACAGGCATAATTTACAATAAGATGTAATGCAGTGGTTCTCAATTCTGGTCCTGGAGTACTGGAGTACCACTTCCCTGCAATTTTAGAGTTTCCTCTGCTTCTAGCACACCCAATTCAATGAATGAACTAATTGACTAATTCATTTTTTTTGAGGCGAACAGGGTGTGTCAAAGCAGGGAAAACTACAACATAAAGGGCAGAGGCACTCACAAGGCCAGAATTGAGAACTGACATAATGGATATGCCAAGGTGGAAGTATCTGGTATTGCACTCACCTGTCCTGGACTTGCAGAGAAAGATCCTCAATGTGAACTTTCTCCAAGCCATCCTTTGGAAGTTTCATCTCTAACATCATCATGAATGTGTACAAAACAAGAGTTTTTTTATGTCAGTTTGATTGTTATTATGTTATTACATTATATGGCTTAAAAAGGTAGAATTTGACAAAGTCATTCCACTGCAAAGATGAAAACAAGATGAAAAACAACATTGAAAGTTAAATACATGCAAACATTTTTGGTATAAGCCTGTAGACTTTAGATTAATACCTAATCTCCACCGCTTCTGTGTTCCATGCCATGTGTCATACCTGTGTGGTTGTAGTGAAGATTGTGTTCCCCTTCAGTGGCTGGTGGGCTATGGATATATGGATGCTGCGCAAGACTGGATCTTTTTGGAGAAGGTGTGAGAGCCATTGGAGATGTGTTTGGAGAATGACCCATGGAAGCATAACCAGGACTCTCTCTGACCTGTGGAGGGGAACAGGGACAGGGTGGATGGGGACTGTGGTAACCACTGCTGTGTGGGCTTGGATATGGACTGGAGGGAGGGTCTGATCGCTGGTCCAGTACATAGTCTTGTTTAGAGACAGAATGGTAGGATCCATGCCCATAAGATGACATCATTGGTGGCACCGCTGTTCTATGCCGCCAGTAGTCTGCCCCCTGAGCTCTGTCCCAGTGAGACTCCATTGCTCTGTCTCTAGCCCAGTGCACAGGCCCCTCCCTCCTGCATCTAAACCCTGTCTCCCAAGATGTAGGAACACTATCTAACTGGCTTACTTGGAAAGAGTGGAGGACGAGATCCTCCCGCAGGTGGGTGCAGTCCTTGCAGGAACAGGACGTGGGTGGAGCTGAGCTGAAGCATAACTCACGGTAAGGACTGGAGGGCAGTGAATGATGTGAAGGGAGAGGAGGTGGAATGTGGGTGTGGCCGTGGGAGTGAGTGGAGTAATGGAACAGAGGGCATGCCTCCCCAGAACAGAACAAGCGAGTCTGTGCAGGAAGCGTGTGTGCGTGGGAAGATTGAGCGGTGTGCATAAGGGGCGAGTGGGTATGTGTATCTTGTGATGGGTAAGTGTAAAGAGGCCGGGCTGGTTGAGCGCAGGCATGATGTGGACAGCACCCTCTATCCCATCGGAAGTCCAGTGGAGACACACATGCTTCGTGGACAGGCAAAGGGGAAGAAGTGCGGTTGCAGGGGAGTGTGTGGTGTTTGGGACGGAGTGTTTTAGGATGTGTGTTAGGCATGTCGGTGACATAGTATGCTTGAGGATGGGAGTATGGACGGCCACAGCAGGAGCTGTCCAATCGGAGAGAAGGACAATCACCGTCATCTAGGATAGCTGTCTCTCTGTCCCGCTCTCTCTCATTCTGCCTCTCTCTGTCCTCTCTTTGTGGTGGAGGTATGGGAGGCTCCTCCAGAAGTTCAGAGGGGGTGGAGGAGTGCCCTGAGTCTGAACTGGGAGAGTTGGCTTGGAAGGGCTGACTGGTAGTGGGAGTGGAGGGGTTGATGCTTGGTTTGCAGCTGTTGGAACTGGAGCCAGGAATACGACGTTTCTTCACCTGAGCATACAGACTGCCATCCAGTGGCCCACGCGTGTGATAGATATCTAGACAACACACAAAGACAAAAAGTTACTTTCTGCTATTTGTGTTTGTATAGAGTGGAGTATTTAGGCCAGTGGTTCCTTATCCTGGACCTCGTGTCGCCCTCTCCTGTACTTTTAGTCCAACCTGGCAAAAGTAGCTATGAAAGAATAGAATTGGCACTAACGGTCGGATTGGGTTCCACAAGTTTTGTTGCTCTTGTGCGCCTCTGGTGCAGTGTAGACTGACTCTAGACCAGTGGTGTCCAATCTTATCTGCAAAGGGCCAATGTGGCTGCAGGTTTTCATTGCAGGAAAGCAGGAGCACACCTGATCAGTTATTTAGAGACTGAGACTGACTGATTAAACGAGTGAAATCAGGGGTGCTCTTCTTGTCTGGAATCAAAACCTGCAACCACACCGACCGTTTGTGGATAAGATTGGACACTCCTGTTATAGACCTATCACTCATTCATAATCTGGTTATTTTGAACAACAACCAAATGTAATTTCAGCAGCACCAGGGCTAATAACTTGCTAAACTGAGTTGTTCTCTATTGTGAAAAACACTTTCTCTGAAAGAGACCAACTGCTTGTAACAATCAATTAGAGAACACTGTTGTTGTTGTAGCTACATTATTGTGGGCTACCTGTATGAATTTTTGAGTAAGACTTCAGGTGTGTTGGAGCAGGGAAAACATCAAAATTTGCAGGGAAAGGGCCAGGGAATACTCCAGGATTAACTGATTTAAGATATATAGTCAGTGTGTGAGCCTGTTTACACATTGCATTAATGCATGTTTTATGTCTGGATAATATCTGGATGTACTTTGGCTGGATTTCAATTACACTTTTTACTAAAGTGCATCCCCAGTGTGACTAGATGACATATAATATTACTTTCCTCTCCTCAAAGCATATCAATGCATGCATGGTTTCCATTTTAATTTGTTTGGATTCCTTAAAGATTTGATTTATCAAGCATGGCTTGGACACTTTCATCACCCCAGAGTGCAGGAAGGCTCTTGGTTTGGGAATAACTCAAACTTCACATATCCTCCATCTTGCATTTCCTGGTTTATCCTCACACCCACCAGTCAGTGCTTACCAGACAATTACCTGATTTCCAATCACGTAATTATGGATGATGGATAACAAAAGAATTTTATTTACACTTGTGTTACATGTGTTCAAGATCTTTCTTTGCCCACCTCCAAATTAGTTTTGAGTGATCCTATTGGAATCCTATCACAATGCATCCTGGTGTATTTACGCTTGGCTTTTCATGCAGTGAAGTGAAATGTGAATGTGTTCCGATCACCTAGAATGCATGCTGATGCAAGATGTAAACAGGCCCTAAGTTTGAGGGTCAGGTATGAATATTGACTGTGTTTTGTTTGTGTACAAACCTTCTGTGCTGTCCTGATGATGAAAATTAAAGTTTTCATATGAATCCCAGCGCACTACAGGATCTGTAGAGCTGAAATCCACACTGCCCCCAGGGTCATTCTGCTGAACATCCCCCCCTGAGTATGCACACACATACATACGCAAGTAATGATAATAAGCTTCTTAGCTCAGTTAAGCATGATAGTGTGTGTGTAGATAGCAGTGATAGATAGAAGACTATCTTAGGGATGCAGACGGTAAAAATGAAGAAATAGGCACCTTTTGTCTGCTCCGGGCTGGTAGAGAACACCAGCTGCACTGTGGCATCAGTTGGGTACCGCTTATCTGTAACCCACAAAGACAAACTATGTTACATCTGTGTTTGTGTATGTGTGTACACACACACACACACACACACACACAAGAGTGTGTGCTTGCTTGTGTCTATACCTGTGCTTGCATGGTCCAATTCTCCTTTTCCAAACCAAAGCTGAGCTCCATGAACTGTACAGGTATGAAACTGTACTCTAAATACACATTCCCTCTCACACATGCCTGCACGACGATGATAACACTTCACCTGGAGAGAGAGATACACAGGAGCAAAAACAGGAGAGAAAGAAAAGTAAATTTACAAAAAGCAAACAGAGAGTAAAGAGAGGAGGTAAGACTCCTCAGGTACTTTAATTATTTAAGCACCTAATTGAGTCTTTCCTCCCCTCTCTCCCTCCGTGGTTTTCAAAACTGTGGGTCAAGACCCACAAGTGGATTGTAGTGTGGGGACAAGTGGGTCATGAGGAAGCTGCATCAATGAACAGAGCAGAGCCAAACAAAGTGCATTTTAGATATGAACTGGTAACCACAGCGTTTCTGCGGCGCACCACTGCCGCTCACAAAGCTTCAAACGTTTTTTGCTGCTTGACAAAAGTTGGCAGCAAGTTTATGTACTTCAGATCACAAAATATTTGGTGGGTTGCGAGATAAATACTACCACTACATCTGGGTCCTGGCATGAAAAAGTTTAGGAACCCCTACTTTAATACATTGCAGTTCAAAACTTTGCAATCTTAAAGTATATATGATTGCTATAATTTTATTCAACAATAACTTTTACAGTGTAGATGAAATGTTATAAACTGGACACCAGGAGGTATTTTAAGATGTTTTATTCAATATTTCCATTGTGTAGAGAACTTATTATAGTTATAGTTACTGACTGGCAAATAAAATGCTCTAATTATTTATTTATGGTAACTTCTTGATGATTCTTCACTTTTCAAATACAAGGCATTCTGTCTACAGCTCTCATCATCATCCTGGACACATCTAAAGTTTCTTCATGTATTTACAGCTTCCTGCAGTTGATACACTGCACAGCAGCATGGATAATTTTAATGTTAAAAGTTAAAGAATGTTTCTTACCATAATGTCCCCCTTCAACTGTAGAGCTGGTTCAATATTGATATGCAGTGTTTTGTTTCTTGAGCCTTCAATATTGCTGCAGCACACATTTAGAAAACAGGTATATGCATTCAGAATAGAGGTTAAATGATCATACATAATGGCCATTCACCTATCAATCTAACATTACAGTGACAGAAGCAGCAGACTCACTATATGCCTGAGGTGTACACCAACTTCAGAGACTGATAGATCTTCAGGAAAGGAGCATAACCTACAGAGAGAAAGAAAGACTGCTGTAAAATATAAACAACACAGGCAACCCTGTCTACAGACAAATATTATTGGATTGATATTGATTTCATGTAGGTCTACTTATGGTATTTGTTAGGCTTTTATTTGCAGCACTATTTTTAACATCATAAATAGCTACTGCACTATTTTTAACATCATATATATGTGTATTTGTATACCTCCACCTGGCTGGTAGTTGGGCAGAGCTGGAATATGAACTTGCTGCAGGAGCAGAGGAGAGCTGTTTATCTTGATTGTGCCCGACAGAAGCCCAGAGAAATAATAAATATATCTGTATGTGAAAGAAAATATGAGTAATTAGGTAATATTCTTTAAATAATGTGCCCTTTGTCTTAAAATGGTAGTTCGGCGAAAAATCAAACATAGTCAGTTTAAGCCATGTTTGGTGTCTTTTTCTTTAGAAGTGCACTGAAGTTTTACACAAAGCTAATACAGCAAACAATTAGCATCACAGAGACTTTGTGCGTATTTCGTCACAAAATTGCCTCAACCACTTTGAGTTGTTAAGTAATCTCAAATAGGCCTTCTTATGTGGTTTATGGGGACTTTATTACAAGCTGCTACTGTTTTCAGCTTTGCAATGTACTTTTGTGTGTTTTTATAAATCACAGTGTCAGAAACATAACCAAAAAGCAAACTTCACACATTAATCTTGATTTGCCTGATTGGTCACTTTGATGTGATGGGAAAGTTATGGCCGGTGACAAGATGTGACAGGCTAGGCTGTAGGGTGATCATGTCGGGCACATACCTGCTTTGAGATGGCTGTAGTGAGGGGGAGATTTTGTCCTCACAGAACTTTCTCATGGCAACAGTGGTCAGAGCTTGATCTGCCCTGCAAAACCAAGGATAGATAGAAATGAAAAGGTCATAAAAAATGTGAACTCAATGTATACAAAGGTTTGAACACCCCTGGTCAAATGACATGTTCTGTTGATTTTCTAGGAGAAAATAAATTAACACATCCTCTACAGAGATCTCCACTTTTCTGCTAATTTTAGTGCAAAATTCTATTTATTTGCTGAGAATAACATATTGGAAATAAATGAAACATGAAAAATAACTTGCACAGGCCACATTTTGTATTTTATTTTCCCCAGCACTTTAATAACTTCAATAGCTTGTCTCTGCTGTTCTTTGTACAATTGAATAGTGCATAGATTGTCTGTATTCATTGTATTTATTGTGTTATTGCACTGTTATCTGTTGCTTTTCGGTGTTAAATGTAGAACCATGTCATAGAGAAACTATGTTTTATTTCTCTTTCAACACATATGTGATGAAAATAAATGAAAATAAAGCTGACTTTAACTGTTTCCTTATTTCTTAATTTCAGCAAATAAACAGTCACTGTGCATTAAACTGTGCATAAGTGTGTTCCCTGTACTTATTTGTACTTATTTTAACTCAGAAAATCAACAACACATGTAATTTGACTGGGGCATCTCAGCTTTTGCATATGACTATATCTGTGCGTAAGTATTTACCCAGCTGAGATCTTGCTGTAGTGCATGTAAGCTGCTATTATCACTCCTGCTTTTCCTCGGTCCCCCTGAGAAAGATGTTAATAGCTATATAATAAACAGTTTACCGTTAATGATAGTCATTAATAAACAATTAAATAGATAGTCCCCAACTCTGGTCCTGGAGACCTCCTGTCCTGCATGTCTTAGTGCAGTCCAGCTCTAATACACCCCTGTTAATTAGCTAATGAGTTAGATCAGGAGTGTTACAGCACTTTTAATGCTACTTAATGTAACAAGTAATTATGGACCATTTCTATTGGTCCCTTTATTGTGTGTAAGGACAGCTGCTCTGTTCAAATAACGCAGGTAAAAAAAATATATGGAAACGGTTTTGCTATGACAGTGATGACAGGCAAAGCCAGGGGCCTCCAGGACCAGAGTTCGGAACCACAACTAAACTAACTGATTGATTGCTAGTTGCACATAAGAAGCGTGTTTTAGGTGCACTTTGGTCCCTTACCTTGCAGTGCAGCACAACGACATTGCTGGGCTCAGAGTTTAGCCAGGCCTCCATGGTCTTACACACAGCGCATATCTTATCCAGAGGAGGAGCATGCAGGTCCGGCCAACCAAACTCCTCCACCTGAGAAAGCAGAGAGAGCATGGCTTCAAAATGAGCTCAAGAGTAGGACTGAAATAAGGCACTTAGTACATTTTAAGCATATTTGGAATTACTTTATAAATCATACCTTGGGGTTTAATCTGCAGATGTCATGACGTTTCTCGGACAAATTGATGACCTGAAAAAAACATGGAAGTTACATGGCTATTCAGAAGTTTGGAATTGCTGTTCAGAAGTTCGGAATCCCTGTTTTTAATAAATTAAAGCCAGTTTAGTTGCAGACAACTATATGAAATGATTCAAATATGTTAGTCCTGTCCAATTTCACAGTTTTAAAATAATAAGTAGGACAATAAGAAGCCGTAAATAAAAATGTAAAAAATGTATGTGTGTCTAGAAGAATAAACAGAGCTGTAGAAGATTCCAAAATGACTGTTATTGAGAATGAAGTCATAATAAAAATAACATCCAGAATTTAGCATATTTTAACCAGCAAAAGTAAATTAATACATAGAAAAAAGCTGTAAATAGACAATAATTTGGTGAATAGTTTGTCAATAGTATATAAGTTATTACTAAGAAAACTAAGAACATGTTAGTTACCAGGCTGCCTTAAAATTTAGTTAGTTAAAATTTTGAGTTTATTCAACTTTAAGTAGGAAGTCTTAGACTCTAGTTCTGTTAACTTACTATTAGAAGTTCAATGAACTTAAACATTTAAGGCAGTCATTTAACCTTGGTTTAAACAGCTTTTTTTCACTTGTGAACACTAGTGTATATGTTTTCATCAATGATATGAAAATGATATGCAATGATATGCAATGATAAAAAAATATATATATATAAAAAATACAGACCAGAAACTTATCCTGATGTTTAGATTTTAACATGGCTGCCACTTCTTTCAGGTTGCTGCGGTAACGGTGCTCATCCAGATGGGGCAGGAAGAAGACAGAGATGATTCTCTCAGTGATGTAGATGAGGTCAAAATCATACTGGCTCTCCATTACTCTGTCCATCACTCCTTCCACACTGCCACCCCTTTAACAAACAGCTGAGTTACAGTGACATAGAAACCTTTTGCTCTCTGTAAAACAATCAGCATGTGTCTTGTCATGACTCAACATTCTGTGTTATTCTTCATACCTGACAGGGTTTTTTTTCTGGCTTTGAATGGACTGAGAGAGAGAGAAAGAGAGAGACGGGGGGGGGGGGGGGTGGGGGTGGGGGTGGAGAGACAGGTAAGAGACGTTTGACCCAAATAGATCTGATTCACTTCATAGCCTAACACGCAGCATGTCTATCTCTTGTGCAAAAAGGGTTCAGCATATGATATGAACCCTTCAGATGTGGATCATGCAAAAGTTATGGCACATTTTATGTTTTATTTTTTGTATTTGTAAAGTATGTTAACCTCAGCAAACAAACAGAAACTGCTTTAAAATTAGCAGAAAAATGCCACATTTAAGTTTGTTCTCCATAGAGAATGTGTCTTATTTTCACTTAGAAAACCATCAAAACATGTAATTTGACAGGGTGTTCAAACTTTTGCATACTACTGTGTGACTAGTACCCTAATGTCAGCCCAAAACACAAAAATCTGAACATCCTAATCTTGATCTTGGTTCTAAATCTAACCCTGACTGACTTTCAGTAAATGCCTACTATAAATGACTTTTCTCCATGTATGTTGCACTAGCAAATAAGAACATGAAATAAATGAACGTAAACAATTAAAATTTTCAGTCAATACATTGAAATGCCATTTGACCTTGCAATGCTGATAATGTAGGCTGAAAAATGACAGGATTTCTAGAAGGAAAAACGAAGTAGAGTAAGTACTGGGTACGGATTTACTCACAGGATCTGCGGCAGGAACACAGGGCCCAGAGACCTGAGAGAGATTCACAGAGTCAGCGAAGGACTAGCTACCTTCCAGCATCTCTGCATCTATACATTTAGAACTCTATCTCAGTCAAGGGGAGTGATTTGACTGTTTCTCTCCTGTCTAACCTCCTATAAGTTTCTATCTCTACTTTCTGTTTTCTGCAGCTAAGTTTTGCACCACACCACCACCCACATCTCCTCCCTGTTCCTCAGTCCTGTCTCTGTCCTTCCTTCCTGACCCGGCCTTCCAGCATCAAGCAGGAGCCGTCCAAAAAGTCTGGTTCAAGTTCCTAAAGTTTTCCCCCTTTTTACAGTCATACAGTCGCTCCTCATGCTACAACCACATATTGAATTTGGAAAAATAGCATCTGTGTGGCTCAGTGAAAATCAAAGATGACTTTCAACAAAGCCCTGTCACCTTATTTCTTTTATGTTGTTTATCGTGAAAGGCTAAAACACTTTATATTCCAAAAATGAAACCATTATTTTGTAAATCTAAAATTTTCTTTGGTCCAAATGCTCTCTGAGCTTGTCTGAACATGAAAACTATATATATATATATATATATATATATATATATATATATAGTTTTCATGTTTGGAGAGGTACATGCAGGGTGTTGTAAGGTAAAGTAGTACCCAAAGTTTCAGTTTCCATTTTTTCACTAGTTTTTTAATTAATAATTTTGTTTACATCTCAACCACTGAATAAAGAAGAAATTTAAAATATCAGTGGAATTCCCCATTCCAATCTAATATTCATTGAATTGTCAATTTTTCAAACAAAATAAAAGAAATTCTGAATGTTATTGTGAGTAAAAGTATGAAAATTACATGTAATCAAAAATAATTTAAGTCAGACGGGTGGTGTGTTTAACCAACGAAACAAAATTTCATCATCTCAGACGTTTTCTGAATTTAACATACTGGAGAAAAAATAAATCATAAATGTGGCTTGTTCGAAAGTGATGGCACGTTTTATATTTTATGTAATTTGACAGGGTTTTCAAACTTTTACATGAAGTGGGACCAAAATGTAACATATTTCAGGTAGCCCAGTAGATTTAGTTTGAGGTTGAGCAGTTCCAGTGCAGTGGCTGAGATATGATAGCCGGACTGCTTTACTCAGAGACAGAAACATCTGTCGAGCAGAACAAACAGAGCCTGACATTCTGCCATCCAGCCAACATTCCAGCAGGACAGAACCGGAGCACAACACAGAGCCTGGAGCGTGCTCAAGGTGAGGAGCCATAAGACACATCTGATCCAGTCTGGTCCGTTTCATTTCTCTCTCTTTTCTTTCTCATCTCTCACTCCTAGCAACTTTTGATGAGCCAACACAAACTGGTTGATCACATCCCTCTGCCAATTACACTAACTCCTCCTGAACACTCATAAACTGCCCCAAACACACACACATACTTTTAATCCCTTAATGTATGTATGTAATTAGGGATTTTAAAGGGTTAAAGGCCTTTGGCTAAACGTAGGGCAACTCCAGGTTACAGAAAACAGGAAGGGAGAAAGATGAAAGAGTTCAGGGTGAACTAGAGAGTATATAGGGATGGTATTGAGAAGTTACAGTGTGTGTATATGTGTAGTGATGCATGACAAACTAGTGTGGTACTGGAAAGGGATGCGCCAGTCATCTTTTTTATAGCCAATTCTGATTTGGATTTGGCTGATTTTTTAAAATCAATTTTACAATATTAGCTTTTTTTAAAACTCAGAACTCACACTGTGTGGGCTAAAAGAACACATGAAACATGCAAGTAAATTTAAAGCACCAGGTTCTATTAGTTAGTCGGGATATAACTGTATCCACTTATTAATAATATGCATATTATGTACATACATACATTTTCTTATTTACGTGATTGTAAATATTACTCATAGATTGTTTGTGTACTATATATATATATATATATATATATATATATATATATATATATATATAATTCCAATTTTTAATTTGTAAATGAAAAATCTGTTGCATGCATCATGTAAATAAGGGGTGAATGGATATTTAGCATAATGAGTCATACATAATTATATTAAGACATGTTGGTATGGTTGTAACAGCAGCGTTAAATACAGTGCAGGTGCACTTACCTGCCTTTACGTTATTTACTGGATAGGGATGCACCCCATCTAGTAAAATTTCAAAACAGATTGGCTGAAATAAAAATAATAACTTTTCTAATTGCCAATTGCTGATTGTGTGTTTGAAGCAAAAAACTGATCTCAACTGATCTGATTTCAATCTCGAATGATTCTTGTTTCGTATTCTAGTATGGTAAACATATGTGTATGTTAATAAATATATGGAATGTGTGATTGGAAGTCTTGTTTAATCTACCATGTACACACATTGAAGTTGTTTGGTGCTGAGTTTTAAAGTCCCCCTCAGTTTTAAAGACATCCTCTGGGTCTTCATTAGACTTATTGTCACACTGGGAGACATCTGTTAATGATTAACACATGTATGTGTGTGTGTGTGTGTGTGTGTGTGTGTGTGTGTTTACCTCAGGCTTCATAATAATGATTTACTCTGCTATACCTTATATGGGAGTAAAAATCTTTTTGTTTTGCAACAACACAAATTAATTCTCTTCTCTTTAACACTACAACACTGTGTCTTCTGAAGCACTTTAAAAGAACGAGATCAAGCTGGAAGCTGTATAACAGAGCTACAGTAGCCAACTTACAGTGAGACAGTTACAGCACATTTATCACACTGCAGTGTATAAAGCGTAACACTTCATAGACATTTTAACAGATACTGTAACTTTTAAAAATGTCATATATGATTGTTTATGTTATTTAACAACTTTGAGCTTGTGCTTAAAAATGTATATATGTTTTAGGGTAAATTTCAAACATAAATTTAGAAAAAGTGGGCCAGCACAACAATAAGCCTCATAGTGTCATCAAGTACTGAGATAACCACTAAAACAGTAAATGTACATGATCACAGATTTGTGATAAAGATAATGGGCTCTGTAATAAAGCAGTCACTGGGTCAAGGTTAGAAACACTATGGCTACGTTTCCCTGCAGGGGATTTGTAGTTGAGTGGCTGTCTGTAGGCCTCCAAAACACCAGTATACATCACCACTATACATCAGGGGAAATGGATTTCTGACCATGTCAATGTTCTATAGTGGACCACTGCAGACGCCAGTGGACTTACAGGCCATAAAAGCCTAGATAACAAACCTGTACACTAGAAACGGCAGCAAAGGGGTTACAACACTACACACACACAAAACATAGAGAAGGGTGGGTGACCTACAGCTGCTAACTATATATAGTCTTTGTATACACAAAGAGAAGAGAAGAGAAGAGAAGAGAAGAGAAGAGAAGAGAAGAAATAAGAAGAAGAGAGGAGAGGAGCAGAGAAAAAGGGAAGAGAAGAAAATAGAAGACAGAAGAGAAGAGAGGAGAAGAGAAAAGAAGAGAAGGGGAGAAGAGAAGAGAAGAGAAGAGAAGAAGAGAAGAGAAGAGAAGAGAAGAGAAGAAGAGAAAAGAAGAGAACAGAAGAGACAGTGTGAAACATGAATGTTGACTAGAAAAACAGAAAATAAGAAGACAAAGTGACGCTTCAGCAGAGAAATACAGAGCGACTGCATTGCACAGTGAGCAGAGGGAAACAAAGAGAGATAAAAAGAGAGTGAGAACAGCTGATAGAGCCGTAATGGCAGATGAGTGAAATGCTTGCTGGCTTCAGAGGACTATTTCCATAACTCTATTTCAGATAATCAGCTGGACTGAGCCGCCTCCTCCATGAATGTGTGTAAATTTAACACTGCTCTGCTTGTATTAAACACTCAGTGAATATACTGTTTTATATGATTATATACTATGTTAAAATAAGTCCTACATTAAATTGAAACCAGTGTTTCATGGTGCATTATGGGAAGTGTAGTTTAGGCCAGACAGGAAAGGAGTCCAGAATATGTGATAATGAGACACATAAGAATCCCTTTACTGCATCCTGTCTCAGCAGGCTAATAACTAACCGCCCTAACCGGCCCCCTGACACATGCAAACACCTTACACACACCCACACAGTTCACTCACTAAATTTAATCATGAGTCGTGTGACTGGATGACACAATGATGCGTGGTAATTAATTTCAGCATTAAAAATTAATATATACACTTCATGTCAAAAGTTTGGGGACACCTAGCTTTCGAAAATGTTTTTGATACAAATAAGCACTGTTTTAGTGATGCAACAGAAAGCAATGCATTTACTTGTATCAGGCTATAGCAATTTAGCTCCACCCATTCACGCTTAAGTTATAAATTTTTTTTCATTCTGCAGTTCTTGTTGAACAAGGCACAATAAAGGCAGCCAATTAGCACAGAGCTCATTTACATATACCGATCTTAAAGGCACAGTAACAAGAACAGCCTGTTTAATTCACAGGTATGAAAATGATCATGTAAAAATTAATTACAGCTTTATGTGGTACATAAAACCACACAAACGTTAGACCTTAAGAGGAAATAATAATAAAATTTAAAGCATCTCTGAAAAACAACTCTGTCTCTGTTTGTCCCATTTCAAGAAGGCAAAGTGCTCCCAAACTTTTGACAGACAGTGTATGACTTACTATTCCATTTATTCTTCATCAGCAAACACAACACCACTCCATAAGGACTCCAGACATAAATGACTGTAAAGACTCCATAAATAAATCAACTCAAATAAAAATCATCTCATCCTTATCATCCTGTGAGAGGTAAATGAAAAGGCATTTTACCTTAGAGATGAGAGTTCTTCACTGCTGTCCCTGACGACAGTTCTGACAGCGCAATGAACACACTCTATTCCTGTTCTCCCCTCACACACACACATTCTCCCCTCCCTCTCTGCCCAGGACACCCCACCACACTCCCACCCCATTTCCCTCACTCACTACAGAAGGCGAGAGAAACCAGAGAACACTGACCTGATGTTCCACTTTGAGGTTATACTATGAGAGAGTAACAGCTGCTCTGTGATGTTAGTGTGTTTAACCCTTTAAACACTATTATTATTATTATTATGTTATTAATCTGAAGGCTTTTTATTCATTTACTCCTATGTAGTTCTGAAAGTGCAGAGTTGAAGTCTGGGCATCACACAGATCCTTTGTAGCACTACTAGCATCCAAAGTGTGGTTCTCAGCTAAGCGACAACAGCTTACAAATAATAAATCATCTACATTAGGACTCCTTCCAGAACACGGAATATGTTTGCATTAGAGCATCAGAATGATAATCCACTAATAATGTGATGTAACAAGCTCAACAGCCATGTCACCAATATTTACAGAATGCAACATAAACACACACACACACACACACACACACACACACACACACACACACACACACCTTGTAACTCGTTTTTTTTCACACCAGTTGGAAATTTCATGACAAATGGATTAATAGAAATTTTGAGAAGCAAGCATTCCAGTTTTTTTATGTTAACAAATGTTAATACTGAGGTGGCTGCCGCTTGCTCTGGTTTGCAAAAGGGGCTCTAGAGCCTTGGAATGCAAAACTATGTCTAATGCTCTGTGACATTTGTTGTTGTTTAATGTTATTTGTGTTGTTGTTTGTTACTTGGGGATGTGTTTATGTGTTGCATGTGTTATTGTGTGGGGTGTGGGTTTAGTTAGTGCAGGTTAAGGGTCTACCATAGAAACAAGTCCTATGGCTAGAGGGTACCTTCCCTGCTAAACGGTCTGTTTGTCATGTGCCGTTTCTGCTGGTGTTAATAAACTGCATTTCTAGTAGCTCCTTCTTCAAGACACTACAATATTCTTTCTCTTGTAAATCTTTTATTTTTGACATATCACAGTGATCAATTATTAGTTACAGCTACAGAAGATGCAGCACAATAGTTATTAGCATCTCAATCATCTTTATTGGGTCAACTTCATGTACACCTTAAGTAGTGATGGAGGTGGTGGGGGTTTCTCAGTCTTACCTGTGTTTCACAGTTATTATGAACGGTGGTTTTGAATTCTGTAAGAGAAAGTGAAACCATCAGTGTGAACAATTAAATTCAGTTTAAATCTATTAAAACAGAAGAGCTTGTGTGAGTGTGTGTCTCACCTTTACAGTAGACTCCATCACTGTCTAAGGCCTGTCTGCACCCAGAGCACTGCTGTTTCTTCTTAAAGTTTTTGTCTATGAAAGAGTGTGATCCAACTTTCCCCAGCTAAATACACACATACACACACATACACAGATACATTGTCAGGGTCACTCTCTCCACTCACTTTAAGTGAGTATAAAAGACCTTAATTTGTGCTCAGAACAGGGATTTACCCCTACAGTCATATGGAAAAGTTTTCAACACCACTGGTCAAATTACATGTTTTTTGCTTTATTTAATAAAAATAGCACATTTAACACATCCTCAATTAGCAGAAAAAAATGGCAATCAGAGTCGTCAGAGTGCACACTTTCTATTTGAAGGGCTTTGTTCCAAAATGCATTATAGAATTTTCTTTTTTCATGATATACATTATTGGAAGGGGGCTTGACACATTCAAGAAATATCAATGCTATAATATCATTAATACCACCTTTATCAGAGAAAGAAAAACATGTTTTTTACTAGAAAAACAACAAAATATAATTTGATCAGGGGTGCCCAAAGTTTTGCATACAACTGTATATTTGAATCGTCAGCATAAATTGGAAATAATAGTCAAGGCTGTTTCTCAAAACACTTTACTTGAACCTTGCTGCATAATATTGACATAACTGCGCCCTAAACATGTCGTGGATGATGACGTATGCTATCATGAGCTGTCATGACAGATTATGTCATTTTACTGTTACTGATAATTGTCAAGATATAATGCAATAATGTCATCTTATAATAAGATGTCATTATGGTTAAATAGAGTACACAGAAAAAATGATCATGTGAGGTAAACTGTCATGACATCAATTGTTATGGCATCATGTCAATTACTGGTAAGGGTAGCATATTATTACTATTATTATATTACTGAACAAAATTTGTCATCTGACAACTCATGACAGCATATGACATCCGCCATGACATGTTTATGGCATAGTTATATCAATGTTATGTAGCAGGGCTCAAGCAAAGTTGATATTCTATGCAGGGTCCCTTCCATTCACCTCAATCATGGAATGGAAAAGAAGTTTTATATATATATATATATATATATATATATATATATATATATATATATATATATATACAACCAAAACGACACTGACAATAAAATCATGTACTCTTGTGACCCCTTGATGCTCACGGCCCTTATCATAATGTGTCATGAAACACAGTATAAAGTAGGTTCTCTGAGCTAGCTGAGCATTTTTTCTTGATGATAGGTGGGAGTGGTGGGAGTGGGAGGTGAAACATTATATTACTGTTTAATATTATTTTTCCCAGCTTGCTAGTGCGTGTAATCAAAAATCAGAATATATTTTAGAGGTGGCAAAAAGGTCATTACATTTTGATGGAAGATTACACAAACACAAGAATTTTGCCTTCTAAATGATATTAGGAAACATGACCACAGACATAAACCAACAGGCTAAAACAGGTCAATTTCAAGTGATTTCTGGCTTTAAACAGCATTCTTCTCCGCACTCATCATGTTAAGGGCCACTGTGTATTCAGTGATATAAGAAACTGTTAGACACAATTTTTTGTTTTGGAAAATCAATCATGTGTGAATACAGACTCCCTTTTCCTAATATAGTGACTGTTTTTCTTTCTATAAACAAATGAATCAGAACTGAAAGCTGGGCACTGATCACATAGCTTAATGACCAGCTGTCTAAAGGTTTACTTTGGCTGTTTTGATGAAAAAGGCTCAAACAGTGGCACTGCGGTTCCAATCTGCTCAGATATCTCCCTTGACAGCCAAACCATCTCAACAGCAAACTGATAACAGGCCATGTTCTTTTCGCGATGGCGCCATCTACTGAGCGTAAATCTGTTTTGGGCTGTTTTATGACTCAGAGCTGAAACATTCTGCTACAAATGAAGAAAGTCTTAGCTGTATTGTAACAGGCCAAAGCATGTTTTTAATGAGCCTGTGCTTTAGTGCTGCTTCCAGAAGCTTTGCTGGCTCTAGTTTGAAACTAGAGGAGATGCACAATGTATTTTTAATCTTTATTGCAATACTGCAACTGCAATATGCAAACAAGGCCTCTAACCAATCGCAGAATTGTTTATTGGCTACTGTGAGTATCCCAACCAATCATAGACATCCCAGAAGAGTGCTACAGCAATGTCAATAACTTTGGTCGTAAGTAATACCAACATCTAACCAAGTCCCATCAGTGCTCCACCAACATGTTTTTAATGTATTGCAAGGCAGAACTGCAATTTTGCTGCATCCTTTTCTCTACCCTTCTCTCTCTCTCTCTCTCTCTCTCTCTCTCTCTCTGCAGCCAAATCCATGCTCATGACTAAAGCATTTCCCTCCACGTTTCCCTCCCCCAACACACACACACACGCACATGCCTGCTGGCTGTCTTGTGAGCAGCAGCACTGGTGTTTGAAATGTGACATAAGACGTTTAGGAAAGAAAGGGATGAGGGGTATTGACAGATTAATAGACTGATGTATGATAAACAAATGTGAATACATAAGCAGTAATGTAACTAATGTAATGAAACATATGCTGTGCTAATGTCCAGGCCAATACAGCTCCTTTGGGTTAAGACAGACAGATAAAGTGAAAGAGAGAGAGAGAGAGAGAGATGTATGAGAGAGAGAGAGAGAGAGATGTATGAGAGAGAGAGATGTATGAGAGAGCATGCATTGACTGTATTTACTGATAACAGATTTAAATGTTTTGGCAGAACTGTAACAATAAGTTTATGGTAAGAAAACTTCTCTGAGTGGAGCTGAGTGCATGTGTATTCACTGATTAGCTGAAAAACAGATTTAAATGCTTTGGCAATAATGTAACATGCCAATAAAGCTTCTCTGAGTTCAAATAAATACAATAGTATCTAAAGTCAGTTCCCTGTACACATTACTTATTTAATTTTCAGTGAAAATGATCATGAAGTACATAGTCATTTATGTTTAAGTATATGTTTCTCTGGAGATTAGATATACTTACGTAAGGAACAGGAAAGTCAAGGGCAAAAACAGGAGTTTCCAAAACTGGAGTGCAAAACATTATTTTAAAAAAAACTGAGAAAATGGAATCCTAACAACTGTGTAAGACCTGATAGATGACCAAAACTGTCACTGTGAGAAACAGAAAATGCAACTAACTTCTAAGACTTTGGAGGTGTGGAGAAACATCCCTACAGATTTCTTTGAAAAAATTAAAATAAGTCTCCTGAAAACAATGGAGGCTGTAATAAAGGTAACAAGAGGACACACTTAATACTAAAAATGTTGATATTTAATGTTTAGTTGTTAAGGTTTCTGTGTTGTTTTTGGTTAAATATATGTTTTCTGCTTGTTTTCTGACATTAAAAAATGAGTAACTTAAGTACTTAATGTACTTTGTACTTTAATAGGAACTTAAAGGTGGTCTCTAATTTTTTGCACAATGATATATACAGTTTTTTCTTGTTTTCTTCTTCAACAATATCACCACTATTATTATTAGGCATTTTTTTTCATTGTGCTTTCGAGAGTGTTTGTATGTGATGTAGAGAGAGTGAGTGAGTGACTGTGTTTTCTGTCTGTGACGAATTTTCCTGGTGACATTTTGAAGTGGCAGATCACGAAACCCTGTAACTGAAACTACTGACCCAGTCACTGCAATACACACTCACAAACACACACACTCTCACACTAATGCACACACACAGAAAATATTCCAGGCAGGAGCAGACGGCAGCAGGTGGGAAGTGCATGCCTGCAGGTCGGTATGCTTCCACCATCCCAGAATTCCACCGTTTATTTTTATCCCGCCTGGGTGACCACTGTAACCCTGGGAAACGTGAGTGTTTGTGTGTGGGCACAGAGACAGGAGTCTTCACGCTAAATCATTTTCCACTACACTAATAATATAGATAGGAAGCATTTCCATCCACTTGCATGGACACACTTGGATAGCTTACACATGAGCCACATTCCAGTTTGTTTTGCAAAACTGTGAAGAACACTAACAAAGTGAAACTACAAATCATGTCAGTGGAGGCTAAAGTAAAGTTATATGGTCTCATAGGTAATGCTGCAATGCGTAATACACCCAGAGGATTACTCCATTTACACACATGCTGTTAATATCATATTTCCTACGATGTGGGTGTCAGGTTGTGTTGAGGCCGTATAGGCCCACAAAAGCCAAACTGGAGCCACCACAGACTGACCAGGCTTTGCTAGAAGTCCAGCATACACAAACAAACACAAAACACGTTTTAGCTTTGAAAACAACACTTGTACTGTATTAAAGTATAATAATAATCAGATGTGCATGAAGCTCTGCACTGATCTCACACTACAACTCCAAACAAACCCAGATCACTTGTGATGCTCACACTGCTCTGCATGAACAACTGTCTTCCTCCTTCACACACTTTAGCTCTAGATACACAAATATATCTCTCTGTTAGATCCAGACTGAAGCGTAAATCTGGACTTAAAAGGCATTTCAGTGGCCAATCACCATTTACATGAAAACTTAGCTCTGGACTCCCACAAGTCATCAAGAGATCTGCTTTCGGAACAAAACCTTGTATCTCCATTTTGGTTGTTCATTTTTTGACACAATTTGAAAACACCAGATGCCATTTACTTTGTGTTTAAGGGCCAAAAGAAATGTTCAAACATTACTTGGAATAAAATTTCTTTACATTAACTTACAATGAAAGTTAAGAACATTTTTTCCAAGTTATCATTTCTGGGAATACAAGATTTTTTGTCTGACAGCAACAACATATTCTATTATTATATATATCCTCACTGCCATAACTTTGTATCTGCATTTTTCTCGTTTGTTTATTTATTTGTTTATTTATTCATTTTACATCATTTGAAACCATCAGCCATAACTTTGACTTTGTAGATCCATTTTTCTGGTTTATTCCTTCATCTAATTATTTATTTATTTAACATGATCTAAAAACGTCAGTTGCTTTTTACACTGTGTAAACATTTCATAACAAATGGACCAATAAAAACAGTCCAATATTACTTGGAATTGAATCATGTAACACTAACATGCATTAAAGCTGTAATTTTTTTTTGTCTTGTGAAGTTACAAGTCTGGAGATATAATGTGTATTTATGGCAGCAATAATTCTATTTACTTCTATTTTCCCATGGAATGTATTCTGTTTTCCTGTGTGCAGATTCAATAACCTATATTTTGGAATATACTGGCAATATATTGACAGCATAATACAATATATTCCATTTTCAAATGGACAGATGCAGTAACCCACAGATGACCTGATGTGTGTACAAACATTCACACCTACCTCTTTAAGGCTGAGTATCTCTGTATCCTCTGTGCACTCTCGCGTTTTGGGGGTGATCTCCTTCACTCGCCTCTGCTTGCTGAACACACAGCCCATCTCAGCAACTTCTCGTCACTTTTCCTTTCTGCTTCTTCCACTCGTCACACCTCTTTTCTTGCTTGTTCAAACTTTTCTCCGGTCTTCTCTTTAAGAACTTTACAGCACCTGCATTAGTCCATACAGACTCTTACTCCTGCTCAGCCTTCAGTTCTGTTCTCCTCTGCCTGTTTTCTTTCTTTTCACGGTGCTAAAGCCCTTGCCCTTCTCTCTCTCTCTCTCTCTCCCTTCTTCACTCCTTCACTGGCCACTTCCAGCGTGGGGTAAGATCTGACTTCTGCTGTTACCCTCACACATTCTCTCTCTCTCTCTCTCTCTCTCTCTCTCTCTCTCTCTCTCTCTCTCTCTCTCTCTCTCTCTCTCTCTCTCTCTCTCTCTCTCTCTCTCCTCTCTCTCGTCTCTCTCTCTCTCTCTCTCTCTCTCTCTCTCTCTCTCTCTCCCCCCGCACTCACTCCTCGCTCTAGGTGTTCTCCCTCAGCCTGACGCTCGCCTTCTCCTACATACACTCTGAGGGACATGCCTTTCACACACACGCCGGTGCTTTCTCTCTCTCTCTCTCTCTCTCTCTCTCTCTCTCTCTCTCTCTCTCTCTCTCTCTCTCTCTCTCTCTCAGCTGTTTTTGGAAGTCTTACATCAGAATTGCTCCCTCTCTTTGGCATTCAGCTTCACCCACAGGGAGTCATCAAACACACACACACTTGTACTCTAAATCTCTAGAAAAAAAAGTCACTCTAGTCCCTCTGTCTTTTATACTTTCTTTGAGTCTCTCTCTCTCTCTCTTTCCTCAGGCTCTGTTCACTTTTCCTGTTTTCTTCTCTCCATCATTCACATCTTTCATTGATGAAAGACAATGACAGTGTCTGTTCTTGTCTATTTGGCCATATCCGCTCTGCACCCAGCCCTGGTCTTAATGTCACTGTACGCTCATTCACAGTGATGATCGTGTGGAGTACATTCTGAGCAACAGCCTCATTAAAACCCACATAAACCCACCAGCAAACATTGCTGTTTCTATACACTTATCAAACATCTGCAGTCAGGGAGCCATCATCTATTTAATTTCCAGTTGAAATCGCCATGAAGCACAACTTCTTCATTTTCAGCATCAAGAAAAAAACAGAGAACATAGATTCAACAGAAAATTACACAAAAACCTCAATAACTAAATTTAATATTGGTTTATTCAGTATTTACTGTGTCCATGCTTTGCCATTAATACAGAGTCTGTTCTTTTCGGGAGACTTGCTTTCAGTATTGCAAGGAAATTTGCAGGGACATTTTTCTACACCACAAAAGTTTAATCTTTGAATTTGGTTGCATTTTTTGCTGCTCACGGTTCAGATATTCCTAAACACATTCGATGATGTTGAGGTCGGGAATCTGGGGTGGTCAGTCCATTGTTAGGAACAATGAACCAGCAGCTTCTTTGTTTGATTTGCAAATTTTCCTCTTTGTTGTCTGTTTTCTTTTTTCAGTTTCTTGTCAGCTACACATCCTTTCAGACCCAAAGTGTTGAGTTGTCTTCTCACAGTGGAAGGATGCACAGAAATACCTGTGTTTTTTTTTTTTGGATCTGAAACAAGAGTGGAGCTTGTTTTTCTCCTCTCTCTCAAAGATGAAAGCTTTAAGTACTGTTTATCTGATAGTGACAGTTTTGGTGGTCTACCAGGTCTTGCATGGTTGTTATGAGTCCCATTTTCTCTGTATCCTTTCATCATTTTTTGAATTCCTGCTTTTTTACTTCTTTAACTATGAAGTGGATTATCTTATAGCTAATCTCCTCAAAAAACATCTCCTGAAAAATGAATTACTTGAAAATGAAACAAATGTGTCTCCTTGACCAGAGTTGATGGAATGATGTGATGTCTACCTCTGAGCTGTGTGAGGTCATAAGCTCATGGACCTCCACTGAGCAGCAACTGCTCTTTTGCACAGACAACAGAAACAACAACTAGAGGCACCCAACACAGCAGGAGAGCACAGTAAAACACACACACATACACATAAAGTAAGCATCTGTCACTAGAGACTGAAAACACAAAAGACTGCTCACCATCTAGCTCTCTCTGTCACACAATCACTTATTACTTTTTTTCTTACTTGGAAAAAAATTAAATCCAGTTTAAACTGGATTTAAACTCCTGCTGTCAGACCTGACACATATTCAGGAGACTAAAGCTTTAACAAAAGGGGCTGACAGAACATTGAATATAATAATAGTATAATATAGCATGTAATATAATAAAAGCACATTGTCTCATTGAATATGATAAGAGCATATTATAGCATGGAATGTAATAAAAGTACTTTATATAATGAAATATAATGAGTGTATTACAGCATACAATATAATAAGAGTGCATTCTAGCATACAATATAATAAGAGTGCATTCTAGCATAAAATATAATAAGAGAGCATTATAACAGAGCATAATAAGAGTGCATTACAGCATACAATATAATAAGAGTGCAATATAGCATGGAATATAATAGGAGTGCATTATAGCATATAGTATTAAAAGAGTGTATTATAGTGTGGAATATAATAAGAGTGCATTATAACATATAATATAATAAGAGTACATTATAGCATAAAATATAATGAGTGTATTATAACATAGAATATAATAAGAGTGCATTATAGCATAGAATAGAATAAGTGCATTACAGCATATAATATAATAAGAGTGCAATATAGCAAATAATATAAGAATGCATTGTAACATATAATAAGAGTGCATTATAGCACAGAATATAATAAGAGTACATTATAGCATGGAATATAATAAAAGTGCATTACAACATAGAATATAAGAGCACATTATAGCAGGGAATATAGAAAGAACACATTATAGCATTGAATCTAAAATTATATAATTTAATATAACAAGACTGTATTATAGCATGGAAAATAATAAAGTACAATGTAGCATGATATAATGAGAGTATCTTATAGCATGAGATCCAGTCAGAACTTATTAGGCCGAGTATTAGCTCTAACTCTGTGTATTGAAAGACCAGCTTCAAAACTGTTTGTCCTTCCCACACACTGCACATTTCATGTAGAAAAACGTGACCAACAAAACTGTCTTTAGAGACTTTCACATTCATATAAGTGTGTTTTGAACAGCTGTCTCAGAACTATTCTTCCGAGAGTCATTGTGTTAGTCACACAGGCTCAGAGCAGGCTGTGTTAGGGCCAGTTGTTGAATATTGCAGCCCAAGCTGGTCTTATAAACATCAGGATGGTATAAAAGAACCACCACAGCACTGTGTATGTGTGCATGGTGAGGAACAGGCCTTCTGAGCTTGTTTTTATTTTATATGACACTGGACGTGTCCCTTTATAGTAAGGTTTACATTCCATTAAAGCACAGTGTAAACAAATCACACGTCTTCACACCCAGCAATCATAACATTACCTAAAAGGCCACTCAGTGAGTAGCAGAGGAGTCACTGAGAGCGCCTGCCTCATGCAGTCTCAACACTGCACTGTGAAAGCAGACACACCTGCTACACTGGAAAGTGCCTACATTTTAATATGCACATCATAGCTAAAATCTTTTATGATTTCTCTGCGTACAATACTGTGTAAAAGTCAGACCACCCATCATTTATTCAATTTAATATTCTTTTTTCAGCCTCAGAAAAAAAACAGAAAAAAAAATATTTAACAGAAAATTACACAATTGATTGTCCTCAACAACTCAAAAGACTCACACAGGACCATCAAATATAATTTTCAAAATTTCAGCATTTAGTTTGTGCACCATTCGCCTTTATTACATCTATTTTTCTTTTTTCAGAAGACTTGCTTTTAGTTAAGTTCTTTCCTAGTTGTTTGCATTTTCTGCTTCTTAAACAAATTCAATGATGTTGAAGTCTGGACTCTGGGGTGGTCAGTCCATTGTTTTGAGAACATCAGCCGCTTCTTTGTTTCATTTGCAAGTTTTCTTTTCTTAGTAGGGGCAACTTGACAGCCACACATCTTTTCAGACCCAGACCATTGAGTTGTCGTCTCACAGTGAAAGGATGGACAGAAACACCTGTGGATTTTTTCAGATCTGAATCAAGAGTAGAGCTTGATTTTCTTTTCTCATAAAGATGAAAGCTTTTTAAAGTGCTGATTATCCAATGGTGACAGCCAAAACATTATGACCGCTCACAGATGAGGCAGATAATAGTGTAACGTTGATTATTTCATAACAAAGGTGCATGTCAAAGTCTGGGATATATTAGATGGAAGGCGAACAGTTGGTTCTCATAGTCATCGTGTTGGATGTGGGAGAAACAGGCAGATGCAAAGACCTGAGTGACTTATCAATACACAAGGGTAACAAAGGCTATCCCATCTGGTCTGAACCCGAAAGAAGGGCTACTGTGGCACAAATCTCAGAATGATGATGGTTACAAGAAGAATGTGTCACAACACAGGGTATGTATTGCACCCTGCTGTGTATGAGGCTGTGTAGCTGCAGACTGGTCAGAGTGTCCATGCTAACCCTACAATAGGTGCACGAACTTTAGAGCTGGACCATGAAGAAGTCCATGGAAGAAGGCCACCTGGTCAGAGGAGTCCCATTTTCTTTTACATCATGTGGATGGCCAGGTATGTGTGCTATGTTTACCTGGGGAAGTGATGGCACCGGGATGCACTGTGGGAGGAAGACAAGCTAGAGGAAGCAGTATTATGCTCCGGGCAGTGATCTGCTGGGAACCCCTGGGTCTGGGCATTCATGTGGGTGTCAATTTGACACATGCTTATTATTGTGGACCAGGTACACCTTCAAGGCAGTGATATTCCCCAATGCCAGTGGCCTCTTTCAGCAGAATAATGCTCCCTGCCATTTACACACACTGTTCAGAAATTGTTTGAGGAACACAAGAGCTCAAAGTGTTGCCCTGGCCTCCAAATTTCCCAGATCTCAACCTAATTGAGCATCTGTGGGATGTGCTGAAACAAAAAATCCAATCCACAGTAGATCCTTCTTGCAACTTACAGGTCTTGCAGGATCTGCTGCTAACGTCTTGGTGTCAGATACCACAGGGCAACTTCAGAGGTCTTGTAAAGTCCATGTCTTGGTGGTTTGGAGCTGTTTTGGCAGCACATGGAGGACCAACAGCATATTAGGAGGGTGGTCCTAATGGTTTGGCTCATGTATATCACCTACATATAAGCCTATTAAAATGTAGGCAGTGCACTGTAGAACATGTGCATTACACATATGAAGATTTTAATTCCAAAATGTTGAAAAAGTGTATCTATTTGTAAAAAAGATTAAATAATACTTTTTGAAACACAATTTCTCTAAAGGTGCTTTCAATAATAATATTGCATTGATATTTCTTGTATGTGTGAAGCCCACTGCCAACATAAATGAAATAGAAAAAATAGGTCTTTATATATATATATATATATATATATATATATATATATAAATTATTACAGCATACAAAATAAAGTCATTCATACAAGTGATTTCAAACTCTTGCCTGAGTCAGTTTAATTCAACTGATATTTTAAAACATGCATATCATTATTCAGGGTTTTCAATAACCAGGTCTAATGTGATCTGATCATCTAGGGAGAAGGAGGGTCTGGATAGATAATCTCTCACTACCTCACTAGGGCGGGGAGTCTGTGTGGACAGTGCGTCAGCCCTGCCACCAGGGAACACACAGCTCATTCAGCTTTGTATGTTTCAGATGCTTTAACAAAAAGATGAGCAAAACGTTTTTGGCAATGTTCAAACACATATGGAAAGCATTACATCTCAGTGCTGTGAGGGAGCAGTGAACAGTCTAAAGAGCTTGAATGTGGCGATGGGACCAGTGTGACACTAACACAAGTAAATCCCTCAGTCAGCATTAAAGTACACACTTTCAGAAGGTAATGCTCCACTAGTTACATTCTAATAGTTCTCTAGATTTCAAGCGCAGAGAATGTAAGGATCAATGTGGTGAATAGAAACTCATTCCATTATAATACAGCTATTTCTTTTTTGTTATTGTGACAAATTGTACCAATATGCTTTTCTGGGCATATCATGGATATCATCTTAACTTAAGGAACACTGCATGACTGAATGGCTCATTAAAAAGAAACATTAGCGCTAAGTAATTTAACTGAAAGCATATTACACTCAGTATTCAATAGCATTTTAAATGTGGCACTACTGGTCTACTTAGTCTTTTACAATTTACAGAAAAACTAAATATCATAATGCATATCATGTAGGTGTCTTTTGAAACGTTTCATATATATTGACATATATATTTGTCATCTCGCCCCACCCCTACATTGTAGTGCAACACGGATTCAAACTGCTATGAACCACTATCATTACTGTTTACATGTCTGAAACCATTGAGGTGTCACCAAATAGTAACTCCTTGTCTGCGAGATATTGCGCCGTATAGCCCTGGAAGTGTATGCCCTATGGTTGTGCATAAACCAGTTGTTAATTGATGACTGTAGCCAACAACCTACATAGCCAGTGCTATGGTTTGACAATTTCCTTCTTGGCTAAATAATACATTTGGTCTTCCTTAACTGCCACTGAAGCAAGTTCTATTAACACAACAGCAGAAGTTTAAAATACTGCATGTATCAATTGTGTACTGCGTACTGTCCACATCAGGTTAAACTGAAACTGCTTACGTGAACTAACATAAAAGCTCATTAAACTGAAAGCAAAACTGATGGAGCTGCTCTTGTGGCGAGTTATTTTTGCATAACTTGTCTGGGACTGCAGGTGTGTGGCTAAAACCAGCTGAAGCTTATAAGAACACTTACAGGCTGAAACTGGTCTGGGCCCACACTGGGCCCTGCAGTGCAATGTCCCCTTTTCAACAACAATGAAGCCCAGTGAATATGGCAGATTAATGTATTAAAGGGCCCATATCATGAACTGAATTCACTTTTTTAAAAATAAAAGTTTGCTATTGTATGTAAATAATATTTCAAAACATACCACTCACTCCTTAAGTCCATATGGTCTATATATGAAAAAGGAAGCTGCAAAAACACCCTGTTTTGAATTCACTGTTTTTGTGATTATATGAATGGTATTTACATAATATTATATTTGATTATACAGCCTACAACAGGTTAACTCCACCCATTCACCTTGAAGTTACAAGCAGTGTTTCAGCCTGGACTGCTTTTTGAATGAGGCACAACAGACAGCAGCCAACCATAAAAGATTTAATTTACTGATATCAGTCTCAAAGGCAGAGTAACAAAACCAGCCTGTTTAATTCTAAGGGAAAAGGTGAAGTTAGAAAATGGTCTTCTACGAATGAATTCTGACTCTTTTTGGCACATAAACCCTCACAAATGTCATAAACGCACCACAGAAGAAAAAAATAAAATACAAGAAAACGCAGGATACGGGAACCTTGAAGTTCATCCATGCTGTGAACCTTCTAAGTATGGTCGAAGGAAAATGGAAAAGCATAGACTGTTATCAGCCCCAAACACAACAGAAAACCAAATATACCCCAACAAGAAGACAAAGACTGCAAACTTTTACATACTTTCAAATTTATTTATAACAATGACTTGCAAATTAAAGGTTTCCAAACTCCTAAATGTATGTGTGAGTGTCTAGTGTCTGGTCTGTTTTACTGTTTTTCTAATTAAAACTAGTCAAATAGGGATATACTTTTAGAAACTTCATGAAACATCATAAAGAACAGCACTCTGGGTAGCCCTGCCATGGTCCCCTTAGTCACTGCAGAAACCTATCTTTGCTGATCAAAGTTTTAGAAGTATTTGATCATTCATTTTGCTCCAATCTTTTTTCCCCACTTGCACTTGTTCCTCTCTTCTTTTCTTCATTCTCACTTAATCCTCACCATCTCCCTCCTCTCCTTGGTCACCATCCATCAACAGGGCAGCATACTTACTGGCTGAACTAAATTTCTGCAGTGACAAAAAAAAACAAACAAAAAAAAAACAAACAAACAAAAACAAACAAACAAAACAATACTTCTCATTAGTTTTTTGTGCTATTATGACATTGGGTGCTTTAATCTATAAAATATAATTCCTCCACTTCAGACAATTACATCTCCAAATTGCAGATGTGTTGACGTCTTACATATTGTGGATTGCTGTGTGAGGATTCAGTAAGACTTCTTTCATTGTGATTAGGTATAGGTATGAAGTAAAAGGGAAAGAGATAAGGCCCGTGTCTTTGGAGGACTGGTTTGGCTGTGTTCAGGGACTCACCGGGGGTGCGGTCTCCTCATATTTCTTTGGCTCCGGTGCAGGTTTGGACTCTTTCTCTCGCTTAATTTCTTTCCTGACAATCAAAAAACACCAACATGTGAAAAATCAAGGCCAGCATGGAACACACTTATTTCACTTTCAGCACTATGATGTCAACCATGCCACATGCCTTATGCCGGGATCAAAATACATAAATTCAGCCCGACTTTGACATGATTTTGTCACAGCTGACAAAGTACCAGCATCGGGTCTGAATATGAGCATCAGGAACAAGGAATGGGTCTAGTAGTGCGACATAATCGAAGAACAGCGATGTGGGATCCCATCTGGGATGCCCAATGATACACCAACGAAAAGTCTAGCATGTCAGAATTTTTTGTATTTTCCTGCCTAGTTTTACCTCTCCTAGGACGCATTCCTTGACATTGACCAATAGGATCACAGAGTGTCTGGTGCACGTGTTATCCTATTGGTGAAGAGCTGGTAGCTACATCTATGCAATAATCTTACTATGTTAACACATTCGTTACCTCAAGTTCTCTTTATAGGACAGACAGCCCACTGGCCCAGGAAGGGGTCCGCAATTGCTTTTTCTTTCCTTACTTTTCCATTTCAAAACACAAAACCACGAACAACACACCCAATGCCTCTGTAGCCATGACTGACAGTTCTTGACCCTCCTAGCTGACAGCCTATTAAGTCGCGCAAGGATGTGAACGATGATTGGTCGGCGTAAAACATATAGTTTTGCCAGTCTCCGCACTGAGACACGGCAAGAATTTGTGGCACTATGATTGCCTAATCTGACATAGTGACCATTGTTAAAAACAAACTGTAGTCTGATCCCGGCATGACCAAGAACATCACACAGAAGGAAAAAAAAATACTAAGTGCACCTGTCTGTGGGTTCTTGTCGCCTGTCTTTGTTAAGTCCATCTCTGTTGGGTCCATCTCTGTTGGGTCCATCTCCTCGACCCCGACCTCCTCCTCTTCCAGCCCCTCCCCCTCTTCCCTGAGACACGCCTCTCTCCTTGCCTATCCCATCCATTCGATTCTCATCTAAATACACAAAAACACCGTAATAAAGCATCTGTCCATTGTTTGAACTGTACAGTGCTGTGCACCATAAACCTTCTTACCTCTGCCAGATGCTGGGTCCTCTGCCAACTCCGAAGAGCTGTGGATGGAAAACATAACAGAAAAAGAAACATACTTAACACCTTAATTTAGTACTATAATAATAAAAACAATAATCATCTTAAGCGTCAGTGTCATTCACTTAGTAGTATTTATCTACATTGTTCCATTCTACATTTCTGTATTGTTACAAAACCTTTTAAATATGCTGTTCTGGTTCAGTTCCAAACCTTAACATGTACTCCTTTACTGTATGACCGCATGTCTCACCTGCCCTGTTTATGAGCGCTACTACTGGTAGGGCCGGCTGAAGGTCCAGTACTTGAGCTGCCACCTGTGCTCCGTTTAGCCCATGCATTCTCCTTAGGGGGAGGAGCTGGCATCGCTTTCAGCGGGAGAGCTCCCTGATTGGAGGAGGACGGTGGGCGGGAGTCTGGGGAGGCAGGTGCATCCTCTTGGCCACTGAACACTTCATTATCTGAATGTTCACTCTGGTGACGTTTCGAACCTACTCAAAAGGATATTTAAATATAAATTGTGAGCTTTACTTGCTACATACCTAAAATACACAGGTTGAAAACCTTGGTCCTGGAATCTCCATGCCCTGCATATTTTGCTTGCTCAAGCACACCTGATTCAGCTAATCATCTAAAAAAAACAGGCCCTTCTTAAACTGGAATAGGTATATTTAAGCTGCGAAAACACTGATATCTAAAGTTACTTTGTGGTACGCCATGGACTCATGTCTGGAAAACTTAAGAATATTACCTCCAGGATGTGTGGAGTCACTTGCTGTGCGTTCTTGCTCACTGGCTGTCACCTCGCTGCGCCAGCTGGGGTCCCTGTGCAGAGAAGAAGTGTGAATCCCTCACACCTCTTAGTGCCTCACTTTCCTCATCTCCCTTTCACTAGTGCCTGTTTCCTTTTTTGGCTGTCTTGTAGACTGACATTTAACTGAGAAAAACATCTGAATTCTTTAAACTAACTCCATTTCTATTGTTAGTGCCTACCCAGCCCCTTGCTCTTGAACACCAACATAATTATTAGCACCATCTTTAATCATTAGTTTGTCGACTCATCATCCCCCACTTGCTCTCTCTCACCGATCCCGTGGTCGTCTTTCTGGAGGTCTGTTTTTGTCCTCCTCCAGCTGTCTCTGCAGTCGCTCCTGTTCCTTCTTCAGCCTCTCTTCCACTTCACGCTCCTTGGCAGCTGTGTCCACAGGTTTGGCAGCTCCAAATATGGAGGCAGAACGGCTGGGGTTGGCCGTGGTGGTTTGGGGGGAGGTGGCACCACTTTGCTCGTCCTCTTTTGGGATGCTGCGTGGTTTCAGGTTCAGTCTAGGTCTCTGTGGAGGGCCTGTAAACACATTATATTACTATAAAGGCTTATCACATCACCAGTACAAATATGGTAAAAAGGCCAAACTGTACTACTGCCATCTGTGAAGACGTCACATGAAGAGAAAGTATCTTTATAAACTGAAATTCTTCAGACTTGCACTCAGAAACAAACATTCTCTGAACACCAGCATACTGTACCTCTCTCCTCACGTCGCTCACTGCGGTCTTCATCTCGCCTGTCATCGAAGTCACGTCTGAAGCCACTACCGAACGCCCAGCGACCCCCACCACGAGATTCATAACCTAAGAATCATACAACATGAATTTTTTAACGACCGATGAGACATACCCTGTTATAGGGGTCTCACAGGCGGGGGGGGGGTGAAGAATGGGGTACAGTCTTCAGATGTCAGAATAACAACCTTTTAATAATTGGGACAAAATCTATCTGAACAATCTGCCCTGTTTATTTTTGGAGCACCCCTCCCTGTTGGACAAAAATCACTAACCTCCACGGTCGTAGTCTCTGCTGCCTCGGTCGTCGTAGCGTTCCCTACGGTCCCGGTCATCATAACGATCCCTGCGGTCCCGGTCATCATAGCGATCCCTGCGGTCCCGGTCGTCGTAGCGATCTCTACCACCATAGCGATCATCACGCCATGGACCGTCCCTGTGTCGATCTGACTCATACCGGTCACGTGACTCTGAACAAAGAGACATCATAGCATTACAAAAAGGTTGCCATGGTGACCCAATACATTCCACATTTGCATATATAAAGTGAGTTAGAGCAGACCTGCAGCATCAGAGCTGCGGATTTTGCGTATACACATGAGAAATGTAGAACAGAAGAGACGTACTCTCCCCATAGTCATCATTTCTTCGTGGTCCATCATCCTGCTCCGCGCTGGGTCGAGCTCTCCAATCAGAATCCGTCTTATCAGGACCACTGTCACCCCCTCGGCCCCGATCCCGCCCTGACATCATACCACCATCTCTCTCTGCAAGGACAATAGAACTGTTAATTTGGGTAAGACACAGCGGTGTTGACCATATGAGGATGTAAGAAAAGATTAAAGGTCTCAAGTTATGACAGACAGGACTGTGGTTTCTGAAGACGGCGAGAGTGTGTGTGACTGGGTTTGGTGGGAGGATGTTTAGAGCTTTTGATATCAAAAACTGTCATTGCTGTCAGAACGCTACCTGTAAAACAAAGTGTTTGAGGTGGCATGTCTACATCAGATTCACTTACCTTTGTCATTGGACTGATCTGCAATATCTACTCGAATTCTCCTGTTCCCAAGGTTCTACATAAAAACCATAAATAGTTAACAGTAATGCACAAGCTGCTACGTAAAAAAAGGTATCCAAGCTAAATCTAACTGTACCTCTTCATTTAAAGTAAGCGCACGGAGGAGTGAGTCGACGTCGTCAAACTCAGCGTAGCCGAACCCCTTTAGCCTCTCTGGGTTACTCGGCTCCCGTGGCAACCGCACTGCACTGATCTGAGAGCAAAACAAACACACATTTACTCCCTCAGTTTCACCACTGATTCACTCTCATACTACAACACTGCATAAAATAAACACCAATTTTTTTAATAAAAAAAAATCCACAAAAACTTGGATTCATTACAAGGTGACAGTAGCAGAATCCAGAAGAGTAATAATTAAGATCTTCATCACAGTTTAGAAAGCATTCATTCAGTTCTGCATTCACTCATATATAGATAACTTTTCATAATCATAAAGCACTATATACACACAAACATATATATTTGTATATATAAAACGTCCAAAAGCATGATTCTGAACAAGTACTGAAAACCCAAACAGGTTTTGCACATTACAGCATGCCGCCTAGGACTAGCCTTAACTCCCTCATAAAGGTCACAAACCCCCTCCTCACCGCCAGGCCTCTGAAGAAATCTTTGATGGACTCTTCACTGACGTCATAGGGCAGGTTACCAAGGAAGGCGGTGTAGGGTGGGCTGCGGGGCAGACGCGACCGGTCAATGTTTGGCTCCCGGGCTGCACGAGGAGCTGTTGGCAGGAGGGACCGATCAATGGGCGGCGCACGATGCGCGTCTTCCTCTGTATGCCAGGAGGTAGACACTGGGGACGGAAGAAGGGAGGGGGAGAGAGAGAGAGGGAAGGAGGGAGGGAAGGAGAGAGGGAAGGAGAGAGAGAGAAAGTTTTAGAGGAGGCAGAATCTACAGATTTTTTAAACAACAAGAATAAGATAATACATTTCTAGCATTACTTTAACCTTTTATCAGCAGCAAGAAACCAAAAGCTTCATAACCCTTTGCTGAATATCCATCATAATAAAGTAAAAATGTTCTAAATCTTGCCTTCATCTAAGCATTCACTGGCATCTTAACCACTGCTCACCTTCTCCATCAAAGTCATCAGTTTCATCTGCCCAACTGGTTGCTTTCGCAGGTGCGTAATAGTGTGGTGCAGAACCTCCAGTATCTTCCGCAAGGAAGTCAGTCAGAGTTAGAGTCTTGCCCTTCTTATTCTTCTTCTTAGCTGGAGAAAGAAGAGAATAAGAATGAAGTGAAAACAAGGTCACTTCCATTTACACAGGAATACAGCAAGTGCATTCATTAATGACAAAATGAAATGTTTTAGCAAAACTGTTCTTACAGTATATTTTTCACGCATGTACATTTAGATGTTAAACAATAACCAAAACTACGTTAGCCTTGTGTAATACAGCCGATCCATGTGGGCACAAAGATAAACAGCCAGTGTGGTTGGACTACCATAGATAAGGCACATACAATCTATAGGCCTCTGCTCAAAAACGACATGCCTAACATGTAAAACAAACAATATGTAAAACTACTCCCAAAAACTGAATGAAGCCTATAACACTACATCAGGTTATTTCCACAGCTTTATTTTAGGAAAATGAGCTGTGTAACAATATAAAGTCAAAGCAACTTCCCAAGCATTTAAATGTAAGTTTTTTCCCCTCAGTCAATAAAAGGATTATTCTACTTTAAAACATGTGCTTTGCTTCTGATAACAAATAAAGGTAGTCAGATAGCTAGAACAACCCTTGAGAAGGCTAAATTTCACAAGAAAACTGCGCTAAACAAAGTTATTTAGTTTCACAAGCATTTAAGAGTACAAATCTATGGATCAGTTGGTTTAGTGAACAGCTACCGATAAGAAAGTGTTTTTTACAGCACTCGCAGAACAGTGTGTGCTATGAATTCCTTTGTTAAAAGGTTACTCCATCATTTTTTACAAAACCTCGTACATAACTACATGATTAAGATGTAAACAAAGTCATTCAGACTGGTTCGGTGTGAAATGCTTCGTTTTAGTGAAACTTGCTGAGTTAGATTTGTTCACAGTGTTGGTGATAGGAACCAGACGTCTGAAGAGTTTAATGCCTCTGAAAGCTTCCTCTCAGAAAGCTATTACATTAAATGGTTAGATAAGTGCTGAACGATGTCTGACACACTGTTCTATCACAGTTTTTGATAAAGTGTGGCTTAAAATGTATTTGCATCTATTTAATTAATTAACTGTAGAGAGGTGCATGCAGGGCATGCAGGGAAATCAGAGTCCGTAAGTTTCTCTACAATGATCCATTTCACTTCAAACGACTCCGAGTGACTGTTTACATCTCAGGGACAGAAATATTCAGATTTTTTTTAAATATTAGTGGATTTATCCTTTACGCTTCTATGACAACTTCTGTTTCTAAGGCCAGTCACCATTAGATCGCGCGCTGCCCGTTAAAGCACGTGGAGAAGGTAGTCCCGCCTACCGGAACTTCATGCGCATGCGCGATAAGCACAGGTCCCTGCCGTAGCACAGCGCGATATACCTTATAAATGGTACATAACGGCACATATCACAAGATTTCACAGTTTAAACGGGATTATATACTGAAGAAACACCATAAAACGTCTCAATAAGCAATAAGAAAACCCAGTTCGTCTATAAATCCCTCCGGAGTGCCGCCGCAGCCCGGAGCATATGACTCCACAGCTAACAGGCTAACCGAGTGGCTGCCTCAGCAGCCTGTACAGCACCATCTGATAGGCTTTTATAAAACAGGCTCGCGTGCTATCATTTAAAAACGGCTGATATTGATTCAGATACAATGTAGCAATATTCTAATACAGCGTTTAAAGCGGGACCCCTCCCTCTGCAAAAAAACTCGACACAGACCGCAACTCCACATTGAGCTCACCTGATGCCGCCATGTTGGAAACTGTGCACGTCGCCGAGACCCGGATGAAAGCGTCACTATGGCGCGTGGCATGGGAGCTGGAGCGCGCGCTTCATTTCTACGGTAAAGGCCGAACAGTGTGAGCGGCTGAGGTGTGCACACTGAAACATGCATAACTGAGACATGGATCAGTTCAGCCCAATGTTTCTGTTATTGTACCAGAACGAGAAGCTTTCTCACTCTTCACTCCAGTGTGACGTGCGTGCAACACAATCACAGACAATGAATAACTACTGACTCAGCTTGCTGTACAAAGCAGTTTTTGCTGTAGCTCAAAACATTTTTGTCTTTCAGAAATAGTAAGGTCCAACAGAATATACTCCTGGGGTGCCCCATGTCAGTGGTGGGCCGAGGGCCAAAAAGGCAAAACAATACAAAAATACTTCACAGTGTAATTTTAAAAGGAAAATAATAATGTTAATATATATATATATACACCAATCAGGCATAACATTATGACCACCTCCTTGTTTCTATGCTCATTGTCCATTTTATCCACTCCACTTACTATATAGGTGCACTTTGTAGTTCTACAATTACAGACTGTAGTCCATCTGTTTCTCTGCATGCTTTGTTAGCCCCCTTTTACCCTGTTCTTCAGTGGTCAGGACCCTCACAGAGCAGGTACTATTTGGGTGGTGGCTCATTCTCAGCACTGCAGTAACACTGACGTGGTGGTGGTGTGTTAGTGTGTGTTGCGCTGGTCTGAGTGGATCAGACACAGCTGCTGGAGTTTTGAAACACCTCAGTGTCACTGCTGGACTGAGAATAGTCCACCAACCAAAAATATCCAGCCAACAGCGTCCTGTGGGCAGTGTTCTGTGACCACTGATGTAGGACTACAGGATGACCGACACAAACTGTGCAGCAGCAGATGAGCTATCGTCTCTGACATTACATCTACAAGATGGACTGACAAGGTAGGAGTGTCTACTAGAGTGGACAGTGAGTGGACACAGTGTTTAAAAACTCCAGCAGCACTGCTGTGTCTGATCCACTCATACCAGCACAACATACACTAACACACCACCACCACATCAGTGTTACTGCAGTGCTAAGAATGATCCACCACTCAAATAGTACCTGCTCTGTGAGGGTCCATGGGGGTTCTACAAAGTGCACCTATATAGTAAGTGGAGCTGATAAATGGACAATGAGCATAGAAACAAGGGAGGTGGTCTTAATGTTATATGTTATAATGTTAATGTTATCTCTCTCTCTCTCTCTCTCTCTCTCTATATATATATATATATATATATATATATATATATATATTTATATATACACATAGAGAGAGAGAGAGAGAGAGAGAGAGAGAGAGCTGGATTGTTCCAAGGAGATCTACGAGGGGTCCTGTGATTTTCAGCTACACCATCATAAAACCTACCACTGTATCAATTAAAAAAATAACTATTGGGCAACTTTGCTGTACTGACTTTAATAAGATGTGAATCTGACTTCAGAGAAAACTTTAATGCACAAATTTACAGCACTCGCTGGTGCTTTTTTTTTTTTACAAACTACTCTAATATTTGTTTATATGTAGACATCCAAAAACATGCTTACTGCATTCATGTCAAAGTGAAGGTAAATATACGTAAAACATCTTAAACAGTTCCTTACTTTGTTTTGCACTATACTGATTATAAAGTACACAAATCTATTCTGAAGTATTCTCCCAGACTTTTTTGTGTGATTTTCACACAGCCCACTGGTAGCTGACACACCACCCTTCACACACTACATTTAACTTGTGGAGAAGCCTGTATGATAGTGAAGTGGCGCCACACCCTGTAGAAAGCCTGCAAGCGTGCTTTATGGTCCGATTACATTTAGAACTGCACTGCTTCATTACTCACTAGAAACAACCTCCAACACTGCATTTATATTGCCAATCTCTAAACCCTCCGTATTGTTGGTGGAGAATTCCTGTGTTTATAGCTGTCATTAAAATTCAGAGATTTTATATTTGTTGCTACACAACTATATCAGAAGTTACCATGACTGGCAAAAATATTGTATGAAATAAAAATAAAATGAAAATGAACCATCTTATGATTGTATTCCTCTTTTGGTTTGAATAGCAGGAAGCCTAAGGTCAGACAGGTACAGTAGGTTACAGCTGAGAGAAGATCAGTGTGTTTGATGTATATTAATTTGCACCAACATAAAAAAATAAAAAAAACAGTTTTAAAAGCAGAAAAGAGTCACATGAATAATACGAGTTGAGAAAAGGAAGAACTGGAGAGTTGTGTCAACACTGCCCCCATGAAGCTTTTGGTGTTTCGTAAGTGTGGTCACATCAGTAACGCTTTGTGTCCGAGTTCTTTGCTGAACTGAAATTCTTAGCTCGATCTGCATGCTGCTAAAATTAGCAGAAAAGACTTATAATAATTGCTGTGGCATAGTCAAGCAAATGGTAATACAGTAAGTATAAATTCACTTGTAACAAGGCAGTGAGGGCAGGTTAGTGCTTCTTTCTACATGCTGCAGTAACCAGGTCATAACCATATAAACAAATGAAACAATAATCTATTTCGGCTTTGAGTATAGTTTTAAAATATATGTGCAAACGTCTTGACAGCTCAGCGACTCAGTTATTCTGAATGAAGTGATATTTCTGTAAGCTCAAAAACACTAACAGGCAGAAATATGTTATCATGTGAGCTTTCTTTCAGAGACACCCATGCTTATTTCAACATGACAGCACCAAGCCACATTCTGCACGTTTTATAACAGCATGGCTGCATAATAAGAGAGTGCAGGTGTTAGACTGGTGTGCCTGCAGTCCAGAAATGTATCCCATTGAAAATGTGTCTTATTAAGCTCAAAATCTGACAACAAAGGCCCTGTATGGTGGCACAGCTGAAGATTTGTACAGAACAGAAGAACGACAATCCTCAAATTCTCTTTCAAAACTGGATCAGTTTGTGCCCTCAACCACCAAATGATTATTAAGTGTTGTTAAAAGGAAAGCTGATATAATACAGTGGTAAACATGCTCCTATCCCAACTTTTTTAAATGTGGCAGACATCAAGTCTGTAGGGCAAAACCTACCTATCAAATATCATGTGTTTGTACTGTTTTCATTTTAATACATCAAACAAAATTTATTAATCACTGATTTTGGTTTTTATTATCATTTCACACACTGTTTCAACTTTTTTAGAACTGTATTTGTATAAGCTATGGGCTTTTTTTTAACAACCGTCCCATGACCACCTCAGATGGTGGTTGGGGGAAACATCCTCTCTGCCTCTTCCATAAACCGCACCAGTGGCCACAATGCCCTCCACCCTAATTCTGTGCGGCTGGCATTTTTATGTCACACCTCTGCAAAACACCACCAGCACTATAATACTGCACTCCAGTTATTTTTATGGATTTATGGATTTTTTAAGCCTTTGCATTACAGATGATTATGGACTTGCTTATACACATTTAGCCACTATTTGCCACATATTGGAGCTCATTCACTCATCTTTTATTTTACACCTCTGATGATTCACTGAACCATTATTATGAAGTCACACTGGGTTTTCTGAGCTGAGTCATATCAGGCCTATTTATGCTCAGACACTAGTGGCCAAGCTGGTGAGAACCAAGAGGGACCTAGTTGAGAACACAATCAGAACACAACAGAATTCAGCGAACAATAGCAAGATTGTTATTCTGGTATCTACCAAGCTGGGCTTGTTCATTGCTGCAGGTGGGAGTTGTACACAAATTCCTGAAATATGACACACTTTGCTTTTATGAAACTCTATACATCAGAATCATGAAACAGCACTACAAGGAAGAGGATTCTGTAATTCTGTGAAGGGATGGGTGGAAACAGGAAATATTTAAGGAAAAAAAGTTCAGTACTGTGCAAAAGTCAGAGACCACCCTTTCACTTATTTCATTTTCAGTCATAACAGCTGTTGAGTACAAGTTATTCATTTTTCAGTGTCAGAAAGCATGTATTTAACAGAAAATTACACAAGATCCTCAACAACTAAATATAATATCTTTGTTTTAGTATATAGTGTCTCCACCCTTTGCCTTTTGCTTTCAGTTTTTCAAAGAAATGTGCAAGGATATTTTAAAAGTAAAGAGTGGACAAATTCAATATGGATAGATTTAAAAATGGGAGGCTTTTGTGTAAGTTTCCTGCCTTTTTCTGACACTGAAAAATGAATAACTTAACAGCTGTTTTGACTGGAAATTGAATAAACAAAATGGTGGCCTTTGACCTTTGCACAGAACTGTAACAGTAATAATAATAATAATAATAATAATAATAATAATGGGAAAGATGTTTTGAACAGCAGGCATTTCTAGAATGTGAAACCAGTTCACCACAGGTAAAATGTGTATATTATACAAGTATCCTCTAATTAAGAAGGGCCTGGGTTCAGTTCCCCATCTTGGCAACCAGGGTCCTTTCTGTGTGGAGTTTGCATGTTCTCCCCATGCCTGTGTGGGTTTCCTCCGGGTGCTCCAGGTTCCTCCCACAGTCCAAAGACATGCAGTCAGGCCAATTGGACATGCTAAATTGCCCCTAGGTGTGAATATGTGTGTAAATGTATATCTGTCTGTCTGTCTGCCCCGCGATGGACTGCTGACCTGTCTAGGGTGTATCCTGCCTTCCACTCCGACCCAGAAGGATAAGCGGTTTAGAAAATGTGTGTGTATGTGTAACATCAAGACAACTGCACACAAACATTACTTCCGAAAACAAATTTAAAATGGGAAACATACCTCTGGAATATTCCATCAAATGCATAGCCAATGAGATAGCATAGTCTGGGTGTTTTATGACTCCATTAAGACGTCAGCAGTAAGGTTATCAAGTGTTTCCAGGAAAAAAAAGGATTTTTCCTTTGTCAAACACCTGAAATTCTTGCCTGACAGGTAATTATATAACGTGCTTATCTTAAAAATACTGCCACTGAAATGGACTTACAAAACGTATTGGCTGAACAAAGGAGGGCAGGTGTCCTTGCTCTGAGAGACCGAGACACAACATTGTGAAAAAAGAGGAG